TGGAGGCCAGGTCATCTGCCGCAGCACTCCATCACTCTCCTTCTTGGTCAAATAGCCCTTACACAGCCTGGAGGTGTGTTTGGGGTCATTGTCCTGTTGAAAAATAAATGATCGTCCAACTAAACGCAAACCGGATGGGATGGCATGTCGCTGCAGGATGCTGTGGTAGCCATGCTGGTTCAGTGTGCCTTCAATTTTGAATAAATCCCCAACAGTGTCACCAGCAAAACACCCCCACACCATCACACCTCCTCCTCCATGCTTCACAGTGGGAACCAGTCATGTGGAATCCATCCGTTCACCTTTTCTGCATCTCACAAAGACACAGCGGTTGGAACCAAAGATCTCAAATTTGGACTCATCAGACCAAAGCACAGATTTCCACTGGTCTAATGTCCATTCCTTGTGTTTCTTGGCCCAAACAAATCTCTTCTGCTTGTTGCCTCTCCTTAGCAGTGGGTTCCTAGCAGCTATTTGACCATGAAGGCCTGATTCGCGCAGTCTCCTCTTAACAGTTGTTGTAGAGATGGGTCTGCTGCTAGAACTCTGTGTGGCATTCATCTGGTCTCTGATCTGAGCTGCTGTTAACTTGCGATTTCTGAGGCTGGTGACTCGGATGAACTTATCCTCAGAAGCAGAGGTGACTCTTGGTCTTCCTTTCCTGGGTCGGTCCTCATGTGTGCCAGTTTCGTTGTAGCGCTTGATGGTTTTTGCGACTCCACTTGGGGACACATTTAAAGTTTTTGCAATTTTCCGGACTGACTGACCTTCATTTCTTAAAGTAATGATGGCCACTGGTTTTTCTTTAGTTAGCTGATTGGTTCTTGCCATAATATGAATTTTAACAGTTGTCCAATAGGGCTGTCGGCTGTGTATTAACCTGACTTCTGCACAACACAACTGATGGTCCCAACCCCATTGATAAAGCAAGAAATTCCACTAATTAACCCTGATAAGGCACACCTGTGAAGTGGAAACCATTTCAGGTGACTACCTCTTGAAGCTAATCGAGGGAATGCCAAGAGTGTGCAAAGCAGTAATCAGAGCAAAGGGTGGCTATTTTGAAGAAACTAGAATATAAAACATGTTTTCAGTTATTTCGCCTTTTTTTGTTAAGTACATAACTCCACATGTGTTCATTCATAGTTTTGATGCCTTCAGTGAGAATCTACAATGTAAATAGTCATGAAAATAAAGAAAACGCATTGAATGAGAAGGTGTGTCCAAACTTTTGGCCTGTACTGTATGTGGATGTGTAAAGTACTTGGTGTCAGAACGTTGTGCACGTGGCCACAGCCAAAAACCCTGTTAGTTGATCAGGCAGCCAAGACACAGTGTTAGGTAGTTTTCTAGTATCAGAATGAAGCAGTCTGTCTCTCTGGTTGTGAGGGTGTGAAAACGTGATCAGCACTGAGCTGAATCTTTTTAAAGATGCATCACTTTTGAGAACATCCCACTGTTTAAAGTCCCCCGGCCCCATCCCCCAGCCAGTTTTACTTCCTGTTTAACAGTTAACGTTCTGTCTTAAACAGAGAATTGGGGCGTGGTGAATAGTGTTAAGTAGCATTAATCCATGACCAAAACAACGAGACTGCAGCTACAGTAGTTTGGAAAACAGCAATAAGGCACCTCCACTGATGAACTCACTGTGTATGAGAGCTCTAATGACAACAACAACAGTCTGCACCACACTCTCGTTCACTCACTCTTTTCCTCACCGTCTCCTCCTGCTGCAGCGGACGGTTGGGTATTGATGAAGCGCTGTCTGGCTGCTGCTGCACCGGGGAGCGGAAACGTCACATTTGATGACAGTCCCATCCTTAACACATCCACATGACAAAAATAGTAATAGTACCTGCCACTGGTACCAGGAAATAACATGTTATAACATGACATGTTATATGTGCTCCCAGCAAGTTGACCAGATCCTTCTCAAATTTGTTTTGAAAGCTCCCAAGACATTGATGATGCTTTGATACAGGTCATTTCAGTGCCCACACTCTATGAAGGATAAACCATGTCACTCCAGCATGCTGTGTCTAACTTTCACAGAAATGAATATCCGCGTCAGCCGGTGACCCCAGTGTGCGTGAAGGTGTGAGGGCCTGTTCATGGCTGCTGAGAGCCTTAATTCCTTTGTTGTTTTTTTGTTGTTGTTTTAACTAGGGATGTCCCTGGCAACTTAGTTCCCTGTTGACTAAACAAAAATGTTGATTAAGACTAGTGGACGAGTCTAAAAAAGGGAAAACACTCAGAAAACAGTCAAAATTTAGCACAATTTATTGTTAAGTGTTTGAAACGTTGTCCCAAAAAATATTGTGTGCATTAAGAGCCCTTTGAAGCCTTTAATCACAATCTTCAACAACCATGTTGGATTTTAAATGCTGCTGAAGTACGAGACACTTTGCGCCATGTGGTATGAATGTAAACATGACGATAACATATCATGCTACAATTACAAGATAAACTGACTCACAATGATGTGTATGGTATTGATAATGTGACACCTGCACAAGCTTGGAGAAGGACATGTGACTTGCAGATTCTACTATAGTCATACGTCATCTTCCCATTTTAGCAACAACAAGATTTTATCTCTTACACTGGATGCAAATTATTCTGTTTTTTGAGCATCTTTCTTTGACATCATTCCTTGGTTTGCAACAGAGAGCGATTCATATACAGTACAGGCCAAAAGTTTGGACACACCTTCTCATTCAATGCGTTTTCTTTATTTTCATGACTATTTACATTGTAGATTCTCACTGAAGGCATCAAAACTATGAATGAACACATGTGGAGTTACGTACTTAACAAAAAAAGGTGAAATAACTGAAAACATGTTTTATATTCTAGTTTCTTCAAAATAGCCACCCTTTGCTCTGATTACTGCTTTGCACACTCTTGGCATTCTCTCCATGAGCTTCAAGAGGTAGTCACCTGAAATGGTTTCCACTTCACAGGTGTGCCTTATCAGGGTTAATTAGTGGAATTTCTTGCTTTATCAATGGGGTTGGGACCATCAGTTGTGTTGTGCAGAAGTCAGGTTAATACACAGCCGACAGCCCTATTGGACAACTGTTAAAATTCATATTATGGCAAGAACCAATCAGCTAACTAAAGAAAAACGAGTGGCCATCATTACTTTAAGAAATGAAGGTCAGTCAGTCCGGAAAATTGCAAAAACTTTAAATGTGTCCCCAAGTGGAGTCGCAAAAACCATCAAGCGCTACAACGAAACTGGCACACATGAGGACCGACCCAGGAAAGGAAGACCAAGAGTCACCTCTGCTTCTGAGGATAAGTTCATCCGAGTCACCAGCCTCAGAAATCGCAAGTTAACAGCAGCTCAGATCAGAGACCAGATGAATGCCACACAGAGTTCTAGCAGCAGACCCATCTCTAGAACAACTGTTAAGAGGAGACTGCGCCAATCAGGCCTTCATGGTCAAATAGCTGCTAGGAAACCACTGCTAAGGAGAGGCAACAAGCAGAAGAGATTTGTTTGGGCCAAGAAACACAAGGAATGGACATTAGACCAGTGGAAATCTGTGCTTTGGTCTGATGAGTCCAAATTTGAGATCTTTGGTTCCAACCGCCGTGTCTTTGTGAGACGCAGAAAAGGTGAACGGATGGATTCCACATGCCTGGTTCCCACTGTGAAGCATGGAGGAGGAGGTGTGATGGTGTGGGGGTGTTTTGCTGGTGACACTGTTGGGGATTTATTCAAAATTGAAGGCACACTGAACCAGCATGGCTACCACAGCATCCTGCAGCGACATGCCATCCCATCCGGTTTGCGTTTAGTTGGACGATCATTTATTTTTCAACAGGACAATGACCCCAAACACACCTCCAGGCTGTGTAAGGGCTATTTGACCAAGAAGGAGAGTGATGGAGTGCTGCGGCAGATGACCTGGCCTCCACAGTCACCGGACCTGAACCCAATCGAGATGGTTTGGGGTGAGCTGGACCGCAGAGTGAAGGCAAAGGGGCCAACAAGTGCTAAACACCTCTGGGAACTCCTTCAAGACTGTTGGAAAACCATTTCAGGTGACTACCTCTTGAAGCTCATGGAGAGAATGCCAAGAGTGTGCAAAGCAGTAATCAGAGCAAAGGGTGGCTATTTTGAAGAAACTAGAATATAAAACATGTTTTCAGTTATTTCACCTTTTTTTGTTAAGTACATAACTCCACATGTGTTCATTCATAGTTTTGATGCCTTCAGTGAGAATCTACAATGTAAATAGTCATGAAAATAAAGAAAACGCATTGAATGAGAAGGTGTGTCCAAACTTTTGGCCTGTACTGTAAATGTCTTGGGTTTGAGAAACATTACTTCCTGTCTACTAGTGTTGCACGGTATACCGGTACTAAAATAGTACCGCGGTACTAGAGTATTCCAAACGGTACTATACTGCATTTGGAAAATACCGGTACTTTGAAATTGATTCAATTCATTAATTTAGTTAATTTATTTTACTCATTTATGCACACAAACGCCTTTCTTGTTCCTATTGGAGCACAGATTGCACAAGTGGTGTGTATGACAACACCTGTATCAACATTCGCAGCTGGCGCACATGAAAAAAGGCAAGAGAAAGTCTGCCTCGCAAAGGGAGACAACACGAGACAACACAAACTTGGTGAAACATTTGAGTTACCAAACCGTGACGTCCGTACTGAGGTACTTACCGAACCATGATTTTTTTGGTACCGTTACACCTCTACTATTTATTGTTCTAAAGGTTTGTATCCAAAAGGACTTTTCCTTAGGAAAAGTTCCGAAGAGTATCGAAAAGTATCGAAATTCATATTGGTATTGGTACCGAAACAAAGATTTTGGTATCGTGACAACACTACTGTCTACATATTAAAATGAAGAGCAGCTAAACTCAGAGTGAATCAGAAAAAACAGGGTTCATTTTCTGTAAAAGGGAAAAGCTTTTTATGCATCTTAAAGGGTCCCCAAACTGATCCTTTTTCGTTTGCCTCCACAGCATTACATCCTCGCATTCGGAGGCATCATCGCAATCCCGCTGATCCTGGCAGAGCCCCTCTGCATAAAGGACAACAACGTCGCAAAAAGCCAACTCATCTCCACCATATTCTTTGTGTCGGGAATAAGTACGCTGCTGCAAACGGCTGTCGGTACCAGGTAACCCCCTCTTAATGTCTCACAGCTCCGGTGAAACGGGAGGCGCCAGACCGCACTGACTCATTCTTTAGAAATTTCAACACTTTCTTTTTCTCAGTTTCGACTCTGTTTCTCTCACGCACATGTGAGATTTGACAACTTGTGGTTGTGTGTGAACTTCTTAGCTACTCTACCCCTCAGTGGAATGGTAGTTATTGTTGTGTGTGTGTGTTCACATTTTAAGTCCCGCTGTCGGTCACGTTTAAGATTTATAGCAAGCACAGTTCTCTTGGGGAATGCCCCAAGAGAATTAAGAATGTGAAGAATGTTCCCAAGATGACAGGAACTCCCTTATATTTCCCTTTTCACACACACACACACACACACCTCTGCCCTGGCTTTCTGACATTGCATTGGAAGGTCGCAAAAAAATTCATAGATATACTCAATCCCTTTTCTTAAATGTGTCATGATGAGAATAAAGGCAGTTGAATCCCACATGCAGAGTGAGAAACATAAAAACTGCAGCAATGAACTTGCCAATAAATGCACATACTATCAGTTCTCACCTTCTAACTGTTTCACAGGCCCAAATCTTTATGTTTTATGTTACAATAAATGTAACTATAATTACAAAATGTTAGTTTATGTTTTTTTTTTTTCTTCCTTCAATTTTCCAATATTGTAGCCTGGAAATCCAGACCCAAATCTAGAAAGATTTAGGGTCTGGCTATGAGTAATGCAAATGGCCCAACTCGAGGGGCGGCACCAAGCATGCATTTGAAAACATCACTGCACGCAATTGGATAACACTACGACCAATCAGAACAATACACGGGGTGACATATCCAGAGCTTAGCTACCAGCGCAGCTAACTGTTAGATTAGACTCTTGCCGTATCCGGTCGGCAAAACAGCAAAAACGTCCTTCTTGCAAAGGAAAGATTCGAGCGCCGTCTTCTGTTCCTCTTTTAGAGAAAAAGCCAAGTCTAACTCGGTCACTGTAGCGGCCAAAGCCGTTTCAAACAACTGGTGTTCATCCGTAGCCATCTTGCAATGTTTAATGTTACTGACTGATTCTGGACTTCGTCGTCGTGATGGTGCAGCTCAGCTACAAGGGCATGGGTAATGAGCATCATTACTGATTGCCAGAGTGACTTGCTGAGCAAATTCAAATTGTGCTCTCTCGAGAACTCTGGATTTCCAGGGTACCAATATTGTAAAATGGCTCAAAAATTAATTGTGTGTGGTGTTAAAAAAGTCTTCAATCTAACTTGCCTACAGCTGTAGGAACCCTGTATCTTTACTTAGGTTTACAGTAAATGTAGGAAAAATACTGTGGTCCTGTCACAGAAACAATCCCTAAACATATGCAGTGGTGGAGTCCTGAAAATCTAAAAGTAGGGATGCAGGATAATATGGGCACATCATCAGCATCAGCCGATGCTCTGTAACTGCATTTAGCGAACATGTTTCTATACACCAAAACTCCTGACTGTCATCCTAACCTGAGATAAGATCGGAGTTCAGACTTCGAACATTTCCGTAATGAGTCCCCTGAGCTTCATTTGCTACAGCCTGAGGTTACAGCTCAGCTCATGCGGAGGCCCCTGTGGTGGTTCTTGTGGAGTTAAACGATGAGCCAGCCCTCTGCTGAGCTCTACGTGACACTAACAGTGGAAATGAGATTTACCCTTCAGGGCAAGTTCTGAAATAGTTTTCCTTAAAGCCTCATGATCTCCAAAGTTTCACGCGGCTTAATTTGTGGCTTTCATTTCATAACAGAGATGTGAAATCCTGGGAGCTGTTTGGCACTTTGATAGGAAAATCCTTCTGAACCCGATGCATCAATCTGTGTGATTTACCGAAGTGCAGCTGCCTCCCACACACAGAGCAGTACAATACAGTACAGGGCTCCTGCTCCCACTGCTGTAACACTGAGCCTGAGCAAACAGCTAATGCTTTTGTTTGAGGTTTCCACCTACACAGTTTGGCAAAAGCTTAAAGGGACAAAGTTGGGATTCCAACAAACACTTTGACATTGAATAATAAGTAAGTTAATCTCTCTTTCTATTGCACTGTTTAAAACTGTGGTATGAAGGGCTTTGTCAAACACAGGAATGTGAGGATAAAAACACAAACACGTACGTAAAGAATTACAAACGCTGCGACACAAAAAATAAATGAATATACACACACTGTCCACATTATTTATTTCACAGTTACTGTGAAAACAGGTTTGAATTTCAGTTTGAAACAACTTGCTGCAAAGGTTCAGCTGAATGTTACATTTAGTCCTTAGCAGCAGGTAGTTGTTGAAATAAAAGATGTGGGCTTGTTATCTTAAAAAGCAAATCTGACGAGAAATAAAAACTGCAAACATGAGAGAATATAAAGCAGAAAATTTTTTACCACACAGAGGAGAGGATTAATACAATAAATGCTGAGAAAATGTTCAGCAGGTGGATTATGGAGCTGGTAAATGGACCTGCACTTGTGTAACGCTTTTCTAGTCTCACACACTCATACACTGGTGGATCAGCCATTGGGAGCAATTTGGGGAAGGACACGACACAAATACTTAAAGGAATCACGGTGTTCATGTGTCTCTTTTAATGACAGCAGTCAATATAACGACCAAACAATTATTTGAACTGTACATTGAGTGTGGGGGGACTCTGCTGTGCGCGATACAGAGAGCAGAGGAGGTTTGTAAAGGCGCGACCATGTAGAAACAGAAAGGTGCTCCCCTAATATAATGGTAGGGGAAACACTGCTTTTCATAAAGGATTATTGATAGTGTTCAAGCCTAATTTCTAAGTGTTTCCCCAGTAAGGGTCATAAATATTTTATTTTATTATGAATATTTTTTCTCACTATTTGTAGGAGGCTAATATTTCACCGGTCATTCATACACAGATGAATCTTATCACTTAATCTTGTTTTCTATCCTGATTGTGGTTTGAACGTCACCTGTGTGTTTGTCATTCACCATTCACTATTGTTTTGTCACACTGATGATGGCTCTTTAGCTGAGACGTGTCCCTGTCTGCATGTTTTTGCCCATTCCAAATAAGGTAATTGTACTATGAGTGCCGCCGTTCTGTTTTATTCTCAAGTTAGAAATATGCCTGTTGGTCAGTGGTTATGGAGAAAAGGTGACGCCTGCACATGTGCCAAAAAAGTTTAAAAATGACAGAGTTTCGTTCCTGATCTCCAGAAGGCACAAAGTTAAACATGAAACATGCTTTTCAACATTTTAAGCAAGATCAGTGTTTTATTTTTGTTTTGAACAATTTTAGAGTGAACAAAACAGAAATGAGCACCCTGCAAACGTTTGGGCACCTCAAGACATTTGAGCTGTCAGACGACTTCTCCCAGGGTCTCAGACTTTAATGAGCTTGTTCACAGTCATCGTTAGGAAAGGACAGGTGATGCAGATTTCAAAGATTTATAAATACTCTGACTCCTGAAACCTTGTCCCAACAATCAGCAGCCATGGGCTCCTCCAAACAGCTGCCTAGCACTCTAAAAAACTAAAAGACCTGATGAAGACTAGAAGAAGATAGCAAAGTGTTTTCAGGGAGCCGTTTCCTCAGTTGGCCATGTAATTCAGAAATAATAATAACAATAATAATAATAATAATAATAATAATACATTTTATTTGTAATGCACTTTTCATCCTTGGATCTCAGAGTGCTACAGGTTAAAAGCATAATATAAAAACATATGAAAAAACACTATAATTAGTTCAAATTAACAGTCAAAGGCCTTTTGAATAAAAAGGTTTTCAGGCCTGCTTTAAAAGAGTCCAGGCTCTGTACAGCCCTCAGCTGGAGAGGGAGGCTGTTCCACAAACGTGGTGCGGCCGAGCAAAAGGCTCGGTCTCCCATGGTGCAGAGCTTGGTGCTGGGGACTCGGAGGAGTAGGCTGCCTGCAGATCTGAGGGTACGGGTGGAGGATTGTGGAATGATTAGTTCTTGTAGGTAGGCTATTGAGTGTGCATTGATGCATTTGGGGGTGAGCAGCAGGATTTTGTAATTGATCTGAAATGAGACGGGGAGCCAGTGCAGTGAGTGTAGAATGGGGGTTAGGTGCTCATGTTTACGGACTCTCATCAGGACCCTGACAGTGCTGTTCTGGATGTACTGCAGCTTCTGGATGTTCTTGCCAGCAATACCGATGAAGAGTCCGTTGCAGTAGTCCAGTCTCGAGGAGGTAAAGGCATGGACTAGCTTCTCTGCATCTGGGAGGATGGCAGTTAACAGGAACTGTGGAGGTCATATCAAGTTGAGGTCTGGAAGACCAAGAAAACTTACTGAGAGAGCTGCTCGTAGGATTGTTAGAAAGGAAAAGTGGTGGTGCACTGTTCTACTGTGCAGACACACCTGGACAGGTATGACCTTCGTGGAAGAGTCATCAGAAGAAAACCTTTCCTGTGTCCTCACCACTAAATCCAGCATCACAAGTTTGCAAAGGAACATCGAAACAAGCCTGATGCTTTTTTGGAAACAAGCCCTGTGGACTGATGAAGTTAAAATAGAACTTTCTGGACACAATGAGCAAAAGTATGTTTGGAGAAAACAGGGGCACCTGTCCAACTGTTAAACACGGGGGTGGATGGATGATGCTTTGGGCTTGTGTTGCAGCCAGTGGCATGGGGAACATTTCACAGGTAGAGGAAATAATGGATTCAGTTAAATTACAGACATCACAGCATCTGTAAAAAAGCTGAAGATGAAGAGTGGACAATGATCCGTAACACACTTCCAAATCCACAATGGATGACCTGAAGAGGAGCCAGCTGAAGGTTTTGCCGTGGCCCTCACAGTCCCCCGACCTAACCATCATTACACATCTGTGGATAGAGCTCAAAGAGCAAAGCATGAGGACGGCCCAAGCATCTCACAGAGCTAGAAGAAATCCTCCAAACAAGAACTGAAAGACTCTGAGCTGGATACAAAAAGTGTTTAAAGCTGTGATAGCTGCTAAAGGGGGCGCTACTGAGCACTGACCATGCAGGATGCCCAAACTTTTGCTTCAGGCTGTTGTCATTTTTTGTTATTTTGAAACTGTAAAAGATTGAAATTAAAAAGTCATCTTGCCTAAAATGTTGAAGAAATGTGTCATCTTTATCTTCATGCCTTTTGTAGATCCATTCATCTTCTACTCACTAAACTATTCACTATTAATGACCAGAGGTGCCCAAACTTTTACGTGCCGTTATTTACCTCCCAAGTGAACTGTTCAAAGTAAATCTTAGCTTCTCTATTTAAAGACACATCATGAGTTGACCAGACACCAGCTCTGTGAGAAAAGCAACTTGCTCATTAAAATTCTCCGCTCTCCCTTTAAGCTTGCTTTGAACAGATCCAGGTCATCTCAGTCCACAGAGACCTGACACCGTTTGGTCCGATGAACTCTGACCTTTAATCCTTCACCCCTCTGACTTGCAGGTTACCAATCCTCCAGGGTGGGACTTTCAGTTTCATCACTCCGACCCTGGCCATTCTCGCTCTGCCCAAATGGCAGTGCCCAGCCCAAAAAGCACCCATGATGCTGTCGGTGCAGCTGCAGAACAGCACCAGCTCGCTGCATGTGGAAAATTCTGATGAGGTCTGGATGTCACGGATGCGTGAGGTATGTGAAATATTCACTTGAGCCAGAAGTACCTGATGTGATCCCAGAGGGAATCTCATTGGTCACCTTAGCAGCAGTAATGGATTTCAGGGGAACAATGAAGACCCTGTATCATTTTGTCACACCTTAATATTTGTATGCAGATAGAAACATTCATATGTTTCATAACATCCTGAACATCCTTTTGATCTCTACATGAGTGCTCACACACGGCTCACACAAAGTGTACAAGTGTAACAGATTTACTTACCAAACTCAGCATGTACAGAAGTCAAAACATGATTACAGTAAATGTTCCTTATTGTTCTCTTTTCATAAACATTTGTACCAAATCAGAATCATCCTATTATTCCATTGCAGGTGTGTATTTTTCAGTTGAAATGGAAAACAATTTTGAATGTCAGAATTTGGATAAAAAACCCAGTGATGCAAGTAAAAACCTGACAAAACAGGTAAAACGGCAAGTGTGTTAAAATGCAGAAACCTGTGTTAAAAAAAACACACTGAGGTGAAACAAACTGCTGAAAACCAATTTGTAAAAGTGTGGTTTAAAACTGGAACATTTAGGCAAAAGAAGACTCACAAACTCTTTAAAAAAAAAAAAAAAAAGGGCACGGCTTCTTAAAGAAAACTGTAGGTGAAGTTTCACACCTGTACACCTGGTGGGGTGAGTAAAAACCTAAAACAAAAATCAAAAGTAAAACATGATGCAAAAACTGGACATTTGAGGCAAAGACCTCAAAGACAAACAATACCCTAAACTTGTGTTCAAATGTGACGTGTTTGTGTAAACCAAAATTTGGGTGTGACACTGACATTTAGGGTCATGTTGACATTTTGGGTCACATTCAGGTGAAACGAGACCCACAGACTGTGTTGAAAATGACAAAATTCCAATTTAAAACTTGGAGAGGTACAACCTGGAATTTGTATTTTCTGCAAAAACAGATATACAAGGAAAAATTGTGGAAAATCAAGACCCAAAAAAGTGTGTGTAACTTTGGGTTAATTAATTAAACTTGGACAAAACAGATCTGTATCTGAGAAAAGACGCAGAAGCACACAGAAAGTCGGGTAAATGTTCAAAAAATAGATGACACAAAATGTTTGGCTCGGCACTTTTAAGTCATTCTACAAATTTAGGAAAAATAGATTCTAATTTTGTAGGAAACATTAAATGCACATAATAATAAGCTCCGTATCAGACAGCATCACAATTATTTTTCCAATTTTTACTTGCCCTGCAAGTTTTTTTCAGAGATGCCCATAAACGTTGCAACATGCATCACACTTTTCTAGAAAAGCTGCTGTGAAATCAGACATTTCAGGCCACAACAATCCCCCAAAACAGACCATGAAATCAAATAATCCAAGGACTTCTGCGTCTTTGGAGACTTTTGAGTAAATCAGGCTCAAGTTCAAGGTGAAATTATTCAGAGTGCTTTAAAATCAAACCAAGTTTTGCCAAAGTGTTTTACAACAAGCATAACTGACAAAAAATAATTAACACAGATGTAATTATTAAAATACATGCTTAAATACATATACACAAACACACAGACATTTTTGTGTATCCATGGAGAATCTAAATTTTGTCAAGAATTGTTGTTGGGGTAGGTCAGGAAGTAAATAAATAATAATGATAATAATGATAATGAAAACATTGTTTTATAAAGCGCTTTTCAAAACAAAGTCACAAAGTGCCTCAGTGTTGAACTGGATTTAAAACATTGCAGAATTACATAAATAAAATCTTGCAATTTTAAAAAACACAAAAACAAAGGAACCTCATTAATAAACATGAGTATCCGGATGAAACAAATAAGCATTGTTGGAAACTAACACCACTGAAGATTGCACTGAGGCAAATAAAGTCATGTAATTAGAATAATACAAAAACTAAAGAACAGACAATTTAATACAATGACAATATTAATAATCAAATAAGACATGTTTAAAGTAAGCAGTGGGCTAAAATTAATAAAGGGCTTTTAAGAACAGGTGCGAAGTGATTAAAAGATGTCACTGATTGTGCAAAAAAAAAAAAAAAAAAAAGTGGGTCTCAAGAAATCTTTTAAAGGAGACGAGAGATTTATTATGTTTTCAGGGACTTGTAGCAGCTACTGAGAAGGCCCTGTCTCCAAAAAGTCTCCCATAGGATCATGGGACAGTTAACAGTCCTTGACTTGTAGATGTGAGGGGCCTCGCTGTTCTGTTAAAAGTTATTTTCTGTAATTATGAGTGTAAATTATTATTTTCATTGTCATGACACAGTATATAATCACCGTCTTATCATTGAAGGTGTCGTTCTCCTACAACAGAGCTCTTTTAATGTCGGACTGGGTTCAGCGGGTTTAAATGTGAACATCCGGAATGACTGGATATTTGGAATTTCACCTGAATCAGTTTCAGCATTTCGGGTATTTTGTACACTCATATATCTCCTCCTTGTCAGCAGGGTTTGCACAAGATGTCTTTCCCTGCGGCAACGTGCACATTTTTTACAGATGTATGTTTTAAACGGAGGACATCTAACGAGGACTGATTTTACAGCTGCCACGCCTTCATGTGGTTTCAGTCGGAGAGACTGATTTTAGTGTTGTAGTGCTGCTAGTTTCTGTAGCAGGATGTGTTTTACCTCTTTCATATGTGCTCTCAGATCTGAAACTGTCTGAGAAGACATACAGCTGCACAGGCTTAATGACAGTTTAGGGAGATTGTGAACAACGCAACAGGTTGAAAATCATAAATCCGACTGTCGGACTTTTTTCTTCAACATGTATGTGTACCTACTAGTTATAATGAAATTGTTTAGAAGCCGATGAAATAATGATACACCATTATCTAGAATCTATAGGCTCCATAAGGAGCTTGAAGCCAAAAACACAGTCACTGCTTTATGGAACAGACGACGTACGTTTATTAACAGAAAAGAAAAATCATGAAACGCTTTTTTTTTTATTGTTATCAAGCATTTAGATCTGCATGATTATGAAATAAATGATGATAATAAGGCCTTTAAAATGAAATAGATTATCTTTAATGAGTGTTTGTTCAGGGCTCTGTTAATTCAAACACAGAACTAAAAAGAAAAAAAATGAAAACGTTAACAAGACTCACAAACTGTGTTCAAAAGGACAAGTTTCTCATAAAACCTGGGTAACTACATGCCGAATTTGTGTTTAATGCAAAAACCAGGGAATGTAAGTGAATACTATAAAAATAAAGACCATAAAATTTGAGGTAAAACTTGGAGATTTAGATAAAACTCCAAATTTTTGTTTTAAAACTGATGTCACGCCATTAGTTGTGTAGAGTCAGTGATTACACGCAGCAAGAGTCTCTAGATTATTTTTTTTTTTCACAATCATGAAATAAGCAGCTAGGTCACCTATTGAAGAAGCAAAGAAGTTATATTTAAGATTAAAGATGCCTCCAGAAACAGCACTGATATGATGCATAGCTGAGTATAAAAACATGGCAAAGGTTTCTTTCTCAGTTGTGTCCCTCTCGCCTGGTTGTCCACAGATCCAGGGAGCCATCCTGGTGTCATCACTGCTGCAGATCGTCCTGGGTTTTTCTGGCCTGGTGGGCCTCGTGCTGAAATACATCGGCCCGCTGGCTATCGCTCCCACCATCAACCTCATCGGCCTGTCACTGTTCATCGAGGCTGGGAAGAAGTCTGGAGGTCACTGGGGAATATCTGCTCTGTGAGTGGGGGGAGGGGGATCTTACACCTGTGTACTGCACAAAAGATAGGATTACGATCTAATGACGAAGGACACGCTGGCCCTCATGTATCAGTCTAACAGACAAACCAGGACAGATCCAAGGGTACAGATCATCTTACAACAGGGTGTGCGTGTGTGTGATTCATGAAACGTTCATATCTCACCCATCACAGTGTATGAATTACAGGGTGTAGATAAATGTGGCAGCTGAAAACAGTCATTTACATATCCTCTCTGGGTTTGGAGGCCTCACCCCCAGAGTTTATGATATGGAGAGGTGTGATACGGCCAAGAGGAGAAATTTCACTGAGCTAGAAATAAAAACACTGACGTCCTCAGGTCCAATTTAACCAACTGGATCTATTTGGCAGCCTGAAAAGTAACGTCAAAGAATGTTGGAAACACAGTATGGTAAGAAAGAAATCAAACTCCAACTGAGGTTAGAATACTTAATTTATACATCTGTGATGAATGCAAATGACTACGACTACCTTGTATATGGTATACTACCATATACAAATGAATGCCAGTCAACATGTGGGGCGACACATCGTTAAATTTGCAGACGTCCTCTGTCATTGTGTCCCTACTGAGCAGTGACGACCTGGAGCACGGACCTGTAGTGAAGGAATTCTTGGTCTGGTGCAGCTCTTCCTTCCTACATATCAGTGTAGCAAAAACTAAAGAGATGTTGGTTGATTTTCGAAAAAATCCCACAGTCGTCTCCCCTGTTATGATTGAGAATGAAGCAGTGGAGCTGATCAACAATTACAAGTACCTTGGGACTTATATAGATGACAAGCTGACCTGAATTTTAATGTTGACAGCACTTTTATGCAGATGTTTTACTCTTATTTTATTGAATCCATCCTCACCTTCTCCTTCATTTGTTGGTACGGTATTAACCTGAATGACCTCACTGCCCTTTACCAGCTCAGAACTTTAAGCAAAGCCTGTTCCATCCTTGGGGACCAGAGCCACCCCTTGGCTGGTGAATTCCTGCTGCTTCTGTCGGGGCGTAGGTACATCCTGCCAAAATGCAGCACTAACAGATAAAAATATTCCTTTGCTGCTATTGCTCTCCTGAATAAGTGACTGACCTGCTCTTCATTTTCTGCTGTCTCTTCTTATTTATTGTTGTCTGAGTGATTGTTGCTTGATTGTTTGTTGTTGTCTATTACTGCTGGCTGTACAACAAATTTCCCCACAGGGATGATAAAGACTCCTTGAACTTGAACCTTGTGATATGTACCGACCTATAGCCTACATGTATTTTTATAATTGACCTGGATGGAGGAGAGTAAGGCCAGGCTTATTGGGTCTGTTTCCATTGCGGGCCTAACAGGTGGCAGAGGAGACACAGATGCACCACCTGTGTCCGAGCCGAAACATGCTTTGGTTTGTCAGTGTTTAAAAAAAAAAGTTTCAGATGAGTCAGGGTAGAACATCAGTGGTGTTTAGCTTTCTGTCAGCCTGAAGTTACACCCACAGAGCCAGTCCCACAGAGCCAGTTCCACAGAGCCAGCCCAGCAGAGCCAGCCCCACAGAGCCAGTCCCACAGTGCCAGACCCACAGAGCCAGTTCCACACAGCCAGCCCTTAGAGCCAGTCCCACAAATCCAACCCCACAGAGCCAGTCCCACAGTGCCAGACTTAAGTGCAATGCACACCGCCGCTGGCGCGGCGCTGTGGCTGTCAAGGGCCGCCCCCCAACACACACTGGCAGCGGCGCGCAGCGGCACCGTCAACATGTATTTCCCACCCCAGCCCTCAAGGTGGCTGTACCTACACTAGTTGCCAACGGTTGCCAACTGCTAGTAACAGAAGAAGAAGAGGAAAAACTAGGAGGCAACAACAACTTGAATTTCACGGGTGAGTTTCTTAACAAAGTCGTCTTATTAAAAATTTGAAACAACCGGAGTTGATCCTACGAGACAAGACGTACATAAAAGGCTTTTCTCGCAGCGCCGCCATGGCCGCGCTGGAAATAGAGCAGTGGGCTGAAACAGAGCGGCGCGGTGCGTCGGCCGGCGCCAGTGTGGGTTGGTTCATAGAATATAATGGAGGCGGGTGTTTTGACGTGTGGTGTACGGCGGCGGTGTGTGTTGCACTTTACAGAACCAGCCCCAGACAGCCAGCCCTAAGTTCCAGCCCTACAGGGCCAGTCCAAGAGAGTTAGTCCCACATAGCCAGTTCACAGAGCTGGTCCCACAGAGTTAGTCCCACACAGCCAGTCCTACAGAGTTATTCCCACAGAGCCAGTCCCGCAGAGCCAGTACCACAGAGTCAGTCCCACAGAACCAGCCCCACAGAACCAGTCCCACAGTCACTCTCATAGAGCCAGTCCCACAGAGTCAGCCCCACAGAACCAGTCACACAGAGCCAGCCCCACAGAACCAGTCCTAGAGTCAGTCTCACAGAGCCAGCCCCACAGAGACAGTCTCACAGAGCCAGCCCCACAAAGACAGTTCTACGGAACCAGTCCTACAGAGTCACTCTCACAGAGCCATTCCCTACAGAGCCAGTCCCAAGGTGCCAGCCCCACAGAGCCAGTTCCACAGAGCCAGCCCCACACAGCCAGTCCCACAGAGCCAGCCCCACAGAGACAGTCCCACAGTGCCAGACTTACAGAGCCAGCCCCAGATATCCAGCCCAAAGTTTCAGCCCCACAGGGCCAGTCCATGAGAGTTAGTCCCACATAGCCAGTTCACAGAGCCAGTCCCACAGAGTTAGTCCCACAAAGCCAGTCCTACAGAGTTAGTCCCACAGAGCCAGTCCTACAGAGTTAGTCCCACATAGCCACTTAACAGAGCCGGTACCACAGAGCCAGCCCCAGGCAGTCAGCCGTAAGTGCCAGCCCCACAGAGCCAGTACTACAGAGTTATTCCCCCAGAGCCAGTACCACAGAACCAGCCCCACTGAACCAGTCCCACGGTCACTCACATAGAGCCAGTCCCACAGAGTCAGCCCCACAGAACCAGTCCCACAGAGCCAGCCCCACAGAACCAGTCCTACAGTCAGTCTCACAGAGCCAGCCCCACAAAGACAATTCTACAGAACCAGTCCCACAGAGCCATTCCCTACAGAGCCAGTCCCAAGGTGCCAGACCCACAGAGTCAGCCCCACACACCCAGCCCTAAGAGCCAGCTCCACAGAGCCAGTTCCACAGAGCCAGCCCCACACAGCCAGTCCCACAGAGCCAATCCCACAGAGCCAGCCTCACAGAGCCAGTCTCACAGAGCCAGTCCCACAGTGCCAGACCCACAGAGCAGCCCCAGACAGCGAGCCCCAGACAGCGAGCCCCACAGAGCCAGCCCCACAGAGCCAGTCCCACAGAGCCAGTCCCACAAAGATAGTCCCACAGAGGCACTTCATAGAGCCAATCCTACAGAGCCAGTCCCACAGAGTTAGTCCCACAGAGCCAGTGCTACAAAGCCAGTCCCACAGTTAGTCCCACAGAGCCAGTCCCACAGAGCCAGTCCCACAGTTAGTCCCACAAAGCCAGTCCCACAAAGCTAGTCCCACAGAGATAGTCCCACAGAGCTAGTCCCACAAAGCCAGTCCCACAAAGCTAGTCCCACAGAGTTAGTCCCACAGAGCCAGTCCCACAGAGCCAGTCCCACAAAGCCAGTCCCACAGAGCCAGTCCCACAGAGCCAGTCCCACAAAGCCAGTCCCACAAAGCTAGTCCCACAGAGCCAGTTACACAAAGACAGTCCCATGGAGCCAGTCCCACAAAGACAGTCCCACAAAGCCATAATATGATCTAATAACAATTCTCCAACTCAGTGAGATTTATTCTGTTGCACAGCAAGTCCTTGCAGACTCAAACTTGCATACACGACCTGAGACCTGTCGTAAGATTTGATTGTGGCCTCTGCTTACTTTCACATTGATAGATGTCGAGTGTTGCGTGGAAATCACCATACGCCCAGTTTTCTGTCGTAAGGTTGTTTCATATATGAGGGCCACTGTGTTTGTGCTATATGCATACACAGATCAGTGACACATTAAAGGAAAATTTTCACTTATATCAACTGTTGCTCCACCACAGGCCTCCAGCTTCGGTCACTCTTGTCATTTGTTAAGAGTCTCTGAATTGCACTGACTGGATGAACAACAGTGCTAAAAGATGTTCCCTCATTCCTTAATTGGTGTTTTTCATGATATCTGTGGCTCAAGTCCAAAGTCTCCTACACATGTTCAATTGTGCTGAGATGCAGATATTTGGAGGGCCACAGTATCTGATTCACATCCTTTTCACTGAACTGTTGAGGAACCCTTAATACCCTTTATGTAAGCATCTATTTCATAGTTCTCTTAACTCATTTATTCTGGATTTTCTTTTATTGTTTTGTCGTCATCCCTTTGAGTCGGTATGTACTGTACTGTACGTCTGTCCTATAGCTTAGTGGGATTTGAAGTAATGATGGCATTGCAATATTTGATTGATATAATACGATTAATGTGAATATATTTCAACATACTAAATACAGTACATTAAGATAAGACATAGGAACACATGGGAAACTAATAACATTACATTAGAAACAGATGTCTAATTTCGGTGCAGCAAAATGTCTGCATTCATTCAGTATCTCATTGTCTGTTTACCACCCTCTTTTTCCAATCATGTCCCCAGTTCAAATCCCCCTAATCTCCACAATACTGGCGCTGCTGCTCACTGTTCCACATTAAGTCTCCTTTGATTTACCTTTGCTCCTGACCTGTCCAGCCCCATGAAATCTGTCTTCATTTACCGCCGCCATCTCCAGATAATGCAGACTAAAGTCATTACATAGAGTGATCCTTGTGGGTTTTAAAAGGTTCAGCACATCCACCTCCCGGTGCCATATATGGATGGTAATCAGTAATATCCTTCTTAGCCCCATTGCCCTGACACCAACACAGTCTCTGTGCAGGATCATCAGCAGCTTACAGCAGCGGAGACATCTTGTGGTTGTAATTCAACACTCCCAACACAGAAGAAATGCTGACACTCAGTCAGTCTGCCAGACGACACAGTGCAGGGGAAATGGGGAAGTCCATTTCTAGAACAGGATCAATGATCAGCCAAAAAAAAAAAAAAAAATCCTTTATTTAACACTATTCTGGATTTAAAGGTTCCGTATGTAACTTTAAGAAAATCCTTGTTTCGAGGCTGTTAAGTGAACTGAGCAGCTTCCTCCAATGCCATGAGGGCTCGCCTGCATTGACCACAACAGTCTAACAAACAAACTGACTGTGACTGACCATCATCATATTGATAGAATACTGGAAAATTAATAATAATCATATTCAGAATAACATTAATATCTGTATGTTTATATAGTCCATTTGGACCATTGGTTCCATGATACTAAATACACTTACACAAATAAGGGAACACTTAAATTACACATCAGATCTTGATGAACGAATTATTCAACATGAAGATCTTCACTGATGTACATTGTATAATTTGATGAGAACAAAATGACGTAACAACGGTCAGTGGAAACCAAATCATCAACCCACCGAGGGCTGGATTCAAAATCACACTGAAAATCAAAGTAAAAATTGAAATCAGATTGCATTGGTTCCTCTGGTGCATTGTTCTGCACCAGGAGGAACCCAGGGCCCTCTGTACCAGGAGGAACTCAGGGCCCTCTGCACCAAGAGGAACCAAGGGTCCACTGCACCAGGAGGAACCCAGGGCCCTCTGCACCAAGAGGAACCCAGGGCCCACTGCACAAGGAGGAACCCAGGGCCCTCTGCACCAAGAGGAACCCAGGGCCCACTGCACTAGGAGGAACCCAGGGCCCTCTGCACCAGGAGGAACCCAGGGCCCTCTGCACCAGGAGGAACCCAGGGTCCTCTGCACCAAGAGGAACCCAGGGCCCACTGCACAGGAGGAACCCAGGGCCCTCTGCACCAAGAGGAACCCAGGGCCCACTGCACCAAGAGGAACCCAGGGCCCACTGCACCAGGAGGAACCCAGGGCCCTCTGCACCAGCATAAGGTCTGAAAGTCGCTCTGAGGATTTCGTCCCGGCACCTAACAGCAGTCAGGGTACCGTTGGCTATGACATGGAGGTCTGTGTGCGACCCACTGCCAAACCAGTCATGCTGGATGATGTCACAGGCAGCATAACATTCACCACAGCGTCTCCAGACTCTTTCACACCCTCATGCCGCCCTCATGGAGTCTGTTTCTGACAGTGTGGTCAGAAACATGCACACCAGTAGCCTGCTGGAGGTCATTTTGTAGGGCTCTGGCAGTGATCCTCCTGTTCCTCCTCACACAAAGGAGAAGATACTGGTCCTGCTGCAGGGTTGATGCCCTTCTACGACCCTCTCCAGCTCTCCTCATGTAATGGCCGGTCTCCTGGTATCTCCTATATGCTCTTGGGTCTGTGCTGGGAGACACAGCAAACCTTCTTGTGGCCGCATGTATGGATGTGTCATCCTGCAGGAGCTGGACTACCTGTGCAATCAGGTACTGCCTCATGCTGCCAGTAGTGACAAGGACACTAGCAGAAGACCAAACTAGAGAAGAATCAGTCAGAAAGGATAAGGAGAGAGGAACTGGTGTCTGTGGACACCACATGTAAAACCAGTCTCTTTTTGGGGGTTGTCTTGCTTTTGCCTCTCCGTTGCACCTGTTGTCACTTTGATTTGCACCAAAGCAGCTGAAACTGATTCACAATCACTTGTGCTTCCTAAATAGACAGATTGATATCCCTGAAGTTTAACTGACTTGGTGTTATACTGTGACCACTAAGTGTTCCCTTCATTTTTTTGAGCAGTGTAGCTCTCTGTTTGCACATTACTTCATCAGCTGATGTTACAAAGCAACCAATGGCATATCAATGTTGCGAAACTCTACAGCTAGCTGACCAACCTCAGCCTAGGATACATTTGTTCCTGTCCTCCAAATTTTCATATCTCAGGAACAGGAGGGGAGACATTTGGTCAGATACTGAATTGATGACTCTAATCTTGAAACTGTACTGATTGTGTAGATAGGCAGTTATTCTTTTTTTTCCAAGCACATATTTTTCATTCTTTATGTTAATCTGGATGTTGAGACTGATTTTTCTGCGGTCATAAGTTCAGTCTGACTCAGTGTTTGAGCTACAATGTAAACGTTTAAATCGGATTTGAGTGATGTGCTCATTATGTGGAACACAGTGAAGATAAGAGATACAGAAAGGAACCCATTCTTTTCTCCAAAATAAATCAAGTCTTCATTATTTCCAGTAACTTTTTCTGGCACACATTTTTATGCGTTCACCAGGCTACAGACTTTCCCACTGAAATAAAATGCACCATGACACTTGCATCGGTGCAGAACAATATTTCATGCACAGTGTGCAGTGTTTTCATGCGCAGCATGAAATGCCATTCAAAGGCAAGAACTGAGGAAAGGCTTTTACAATGTTCACATGGCCACTTCTGCTCCACTTGTACTGTTACTGAGCTGTAATCTTTGACACAATAACAAGTATCTTGTCGGTATGCCTTCTGAGTAAAATGACATGTTTTCACTTGCTCTGACCTCCACCTTCCTGTGATGTATATAAGCATGCCATACTTAAGCACAATTAAACTAATAGCTGTGAGTACGGGCCAGGCCTTGAGGGAAACAGCTGTGAGTGACACATTTTGTCTTCTGTCTTGTGTTTTTCCCACAGCACAGTCTGTCTGATCCTCCTCTTCTCTCAGTACCTCAGCAAAGTCAATGTACCAATGATTGCCTACAAGGATAAGAAGTGGAAGGTTTTCCAGTATCCCCTCTTCAAGCTCTTCTCCGTGAGTTGCCAACAGTGTCCAGATCTCATGCCTTCTGCTTATCTTCTGTCGAGGAAAAACCCAAAACACTTTAATTTCAGTACCTGTGCCCTGCATTATCAGTGTCATGCTTCAAAACAATTTTTATTGAAAGTACAGTGCATAAAAATCATCCAGTGTCAAGTAATAGTCTGCAAAACTGACTCAAAAATGTGTTGTGTGTGTAGATAGATATTCAGACACAGGGATGGAAAGAAGTTACCACTTCTATTGTGGTAATCTATGAGTAACCTGACCACATAAAAAAGCCGTAGTGAGAAAGCAGACAGTGGTAGATGGTCTGAGGACGGTCCTTCAGCTGCTCGAATTGCAACTTAGTTCTAGCCAGCCGAGCCTATACTTTCTGCCAGATCAGCAAACTTTCTGTTGCTGCAATTACACAGATTAGACCCAGCGCCCTGTGAACCCAGTGAGGGGATTTGTGCCAGATGAATCTGAGTCACAAGAGTTGCTACTGTGAACTCTGGGTGTGTTACTCCGACTTTGAGAAATTCACTTTAGTATGAACTCAGTCGGACTAACATGTTTACATGGATTTTAATCCATGATCCGGCTATAGTCGGACTGACACAATAATACATTTTCTCTGATGTCATGTAAACATACTGAGTGTCTCATCCTCTGAACTCCACATGATGGAGAATGGAAGACACGCTGCAGGTATACACCGCCCCTCTGAATTCTTTGACATCCCATCCGTCACTCTTCTTGCTGCTTCAGGCTGCAGCTGACAGTAATGTCACACATGGCCTTCATGACATGACTGGTAGCAAGCTAGTGTTGTTGTTAAACATACTCTTAATTATATTTACTTTTTGACAGCTGTATGTTATTGACTTTGAGAGCATTAGCTCTCTGGCTAATAGTGGAGCCAAAGAGTTCCATGAGCTGAGTGGACTAGAAAATCTCCTGTTGCTAAGTTGTATCTAAGGTTCATCCTATTTACTGGAGATGTGAATAACGTTTCTATTGCATTAGAACCTTCTGGGGTGGTAAGGATTGTTCCAGGTATCATGTAAACCCTCAGGTGTTACCAGGCAAACTGAGTTATGACTTGTGAAAAACTTTAGATTTTGACTGCAGAAAGTATAAAAATATGAATAAATATTCTTTTGTTTTTTTTTTTTAATCATTGGTAGGTGACCACAGTAGAAGCGGGATAATGTCCTTCGAGGTGTCCTGTTTTTAACGGCCTTTGCTGTGTGTCAGATGGTTCACTCCTCCATGTCGGCCGTTAAAAACTGATAATTGACAGCTTGTCAGGCATCGTCCCTCAATTAATTACCACTTTTTTTCAGTATAAGATGCTGCGAAAAATCAAAGTCAGAAACACTGTGTTGTGCATTGTTTTTAGAAATATGTCTCATGATATACAACCTCTAAAAGCATACAGTATGATGTCACTTTTTCCCATTGTCTAGTGTTAAAAAGTAAACAAGAATTGCGATAAATTGTAATGCTGAATTGCAGTTCTTGTGGAATCCCAATAATTAAAAATCCCAATAAGTATCTTGATAGTTTTGAATTGGGAAATAAGCCTTTCATCCCAGCCCTATTATGTAATGGCAGTGGCACCCCCAGAAATGTTTCATTGGGGCAGCTATAACTTTTTTAGGAATTCTGGTATGCAGTTGAGTTGAGGGTAAAGGAGGGTAAATCACATGCCGATATACTTTGGTTTCTTATTAACAAGTAAAGGTCTCTAATTATCTGATGTTCACAGACTAATACTGGTACAGTTAAGATTTTGAGCTCCACAACAATCCTATTTTAATGTGTCATGTATCTATATATACATGTTAGGCGATTCATCGTACTTTAAATAGGCAGATTGTCCTTTTCCTTGTAAAGCCTAATAAACAGCTCTAATTTGAAAGAGTACATGGATCGTCAGGAACATTTACTGGGAACAAACCCTCTCAAGTTCAGGCGAGACCTGTTGGTACCCACAAAACCCATTCAAGGGACGAGTTAATTTCATTGACAAAAAACTACAACAAAAGTTTTTTGTTAACAACCTTTTTTCCATGACGAAAATGAAATGATGATGGGCTTGAAGTAGCTCTTGATAATAAAAACTTAGACTAAATCTATGTTTCATTTTTGTTGACAAGACATGATAAAAATATCATCGGTGGTGGACTATCAGACATTGAAAGCCGAGAACGGTAGTGCCTGTTATTATCTTCAAATGCTGCATGAGCAATAGGCTGGTAAACTCCAGTAAATAGTCTGCACCAGGATGTTTCGGTTGGTGTGAGTTGGTGTGGATGGTGGAGCAGCTGAATAGATTTGTTGAGTTTGTTAGTTGCAGGGGTGGCTGTTAGCAAGTTCGGCGGCTCGCGGCCAGTGGCTGCCGGACTTCACAGCTTCACCCCTCAGGACTCCACTCAGTCCGGACTGGAGAAGGTTTCTGGGTTGACGGTGTTTGACAGGCAGGTAGGAGGCTCAGTTATCTGTGAGTTTAGCTGTGTTGTAAGTAAACAGTCTGAACTCTGGCAGAGATGAAAGTTTAGTTTGAATCACCAGTACTAATACTAAAAAGTATTTTCGTCTCATGACTCAGACTAAATCTAAAATAGCTGTTATAATTGCCACTGCTTTAAAAATGACCTTGCAAGATGTTCCCTAAATGTGGAACGTTATTTTGCCCTCTTGCAATAAGCTTTGCCAGCGTAGTTTTACCAGATACCACTATCTTTGCCGTACATTAAAAAGATGAGCATGTCACAGTAGGGCTGGGCGATATAACCATTGTACAATATGTCAATACATTTTCAAGCAAGAGAAACATTTAGACAACACTGTTTTTATCAATATAGATTACATTACATAAAGACTACCAGTGTGAATCTCCTCTCTCACACTCTGCACAGCTCTGCCCACCTCATTTACTCCCAAGTTCTCCATCAACACTCAGAGAGACACAGAGCTGCTCCTCTGTTTAATCTGACTGTTCATCACGGTGCCGCATCGGTCTATATGCTGCATGTGCTGTGCTACATCAGTCTGTGAAATGAATGAAATGACCACAGTAGCACACATGCAGTACATCGCAGCGCTGCTAGTTTGTGTTTGAGATGGATCATAGCGCATCGCCGTTCTTCCAGGTAGTTGTCGTCTATGTATGACACTGAGACAGCGCCTGGCAACAGATGGGTTCAGCAACAACACAGACGTTTCATTTACAAGACGTATATAACGAGGACAAAGTGTCTCTGTCTCCGTCCCTCCCTTGTCTTCTCTGTTGATGCTGGTTGCAGAAATAAGATTAAAATATTTAAATCATTTTCCAGCACTAGATTAATTTAAAAGGCCAACAGATGGAAAGCGACTTTTTAACTCCGCCCACAAAATTTTGCAATCGTCTCAAACCTACCTGATCCTTTTATAGTCATGTTATAGTTTAGTGTCCTGTGCTGCAAACTTTTAAACCTCTGTAGCTCCAGTGCTGTGTGCAAAACGTTAATGTGCAGCCCTGCTGTGTATTTTATATTATTTTTCATTTACATGTTGTGCAGCTGTTTATTTTCAAACAGGGGAAAAAAAATCCCTGTCTTTGCATTTTATTTTGATCTCAGTCTGTGTTTATGAAAGTGGTTGTGACATCTCACATGTGGTTTTGACTTGCATGAAGCCCATTTTGTAGAAAATACAGAGATACAAATTTTTGTCCATATGGCCCAGCCCTACGCCACAGCCTCTTAAAGATCGTAAACTTTGCCTCCAATTTTTTTTCACCAGGAAGGAGTGGGGGGGTGAGCAGGTGTATCAGGGTGGCCTATCCCTCTCCTTGGTGGTGCCACTGTGTACCAGCAGCTTAACGTTTTTAAAGAATATAGATATGGCCTTTCATATGAGGTAGCATTCTTTTGTCAAGGAGGCTGAAACAGGAAATCCGTCAGTCTGTAGAGCTGAAAACATGCCAACAAGTCATATCTCTTTAGAAATGCTATAATATAAACAAAATGATAAATATCTTATTAATCTTCTTCTTCTTTTTTTTAATAGAAATCAATGTGACTGGGAAACAGATACAAATGTTTAAAGAAATAACAGGATTGTGTCTTTTCTGTTTTGGGAGGAGGGTCCCTTCAAATATATTATCCTATGACTACAGTCACTAGCTGTCAGGTAGAGATCGCCTGTGGTGATGGACCAACACAAAGAATGTGTATTTTGACCTGTATTTATCTTAGGTTGGGCTTTAGTCCACCACAAATCCTCAGTAACACACCTACTGGCCACTGTCAATCAGAGCTCAGCAGATATATGTGCTGCTTTGAATGCCACAGTGATTTACACTGTGACAAGAGATCCAAATATATATTTTCACTGAGGATCTATGTCACCGAGCCTCGTCCCCTTTAATAAACATGACATCTTTCTGTCTGTTCAATAACAGCTAAAATATCACAGGGGTGCAATTTTGTCTCCTTTTAGTCAAATTCTGCGTTTTTAATCCAAAATAGGTCCTTTGTGAGATTGAGTAGATCTGATGAGTTTTTAAAGGGGGGTACTGAATCTGGGTCTGCGAGGAGAGTCACAGGGAATTATATGAGGTCAGTTTTTGACTGCCTGCATGCCTTAAAGTAAGAATCTCTTAAATAGAGTTATGAAAACCTTATTTGGCCTATGTGATAATATGTCCAGCTTGGGACTGTTATTCCTCTTCGCCTTTCTTTATAGAAGGTACAATAGGGGAATAGGGGGACAGAGCTGTCTCACTTTTAAACCAGCAGCGGATTAGGAAGGGACAGCTGGCAGAACGGGACCATGGACCAGGCCCCTGTTGCGACCCTGTTGTGTGACATAGCCTCTTTTTTAGGGATGCACCGAAATGAGAATTTGTGGCCGAAGCCGAAGCCGAATAATATTAAACGCTTGGCTGAATACCGAGTACCGAATACTGAATATCATTGTTTAGTTTGTCATTAGTTTTTGCAGATGAACCCCCTCCAGATTAGTGTTGTCACGTTACCAAAATTGGGACCCACTGTGCGATACCAATGAAAATATCATGGTTCTGAGTAGTATCACGATACCACAGCGAAAATGAGGCAGATGTGCCTTTTGTCATTTATAAAAAGATAAATCACTCTTCTGTAATACATCAATGATATTTCAATGGAATAAATTACTTATTGACTTATTCATACTTCAAAAACAGCATTAATAAGTGATTAACATAGGGGGGATCAAAATAAAATAAATAAATAAAATAAGAATCAACCAGCCACCCTCCTCCCCTGACAAGTCCCTTCATAAGTAAAGAACAGTCCTTAAAGTGCGGTGAGGTTTGTGGGCCGTGAACGGCTCGTTTCTCCTCTGACACGTCACATACCTGTGTTCAGCTGGCTCGGCTGTCCAGGTACTTTTGGGCAGTCATGACGCCAAGAAGAGGATATTATTGGAGCCGACTTCTCCGTCGGTGGTAAGCCAATGGCCGCAGTATTTGACAGGAATACATTACTGTCTGTGTCTGTGACCCCCATTCAACCCACAATCGATGGGATTAGCCTTTCGTTTCTGCTGCTGGTTGAAATCTGTAGGCTACTCGCACAGCGTGCTGAATGATTTAAGCCTATTTGCTCGCTCAAAAATATTTGTAGTCGCAAATGCGAGTGCAGTGAGTGATGGATCGCCACACTGCCGACATTTTACTCCGCGCGTCACGGCACGCTGTTTGATTGCGTTATCAAAACACGCCGCTATTATTCGGCCTTGCTTTTAACTTATTCCACAGAATACCGAATGTTTTTTTTTGCAATATTCAGCCGAATATATTCGGTTACCGAATATTCGGTGCATCCCTACTCTTTTTAAAATGCCCGCATGCCATCTGAAATCCCACACTGGGGCAGCACAATGCCTGCATTGTTTGGTTTGGTGTTTAAAATGCAAAGGTGGCAAAAAGAAAGGACTCTTAGGCGACCTTATCGCACGACCTCAGCGTAAAAGGGGTTTTCCTCACCCTTTTCACCCCTGATGAGTTTGCACCCCTGAAATTAACTGGTGGCTTTCAGTCACGCTTTGAAGGTCTTTGAAGGGCGAAAACATAACAGTGAATGCAAGACTCCTCCCTCGAACACAGTTAGAAGAACTCTGAGTCATTTTGGCTTCAGGGTTCAATCGTTGGAATGCTTTATGTATGGCACCTCTTCACATTAACACAGAATGACTCACATGTTGTGAAATCCTAAAACCCTCAAGGTGTCTTGATCTTACAGTAAACATGGTTATGTTTTTTTAAAGCTAGTCATCAGTATTTGTTGTCCCTCATCCAGTGAATACAAAGCATAAATTGTGGCTCTTTTCAGCATGAAGGGACGAAGCCAGGGATTATATAGCAGCACACAAAGAGCCCACCTACTGAGGGTAGCCAACACCCAACAGTATACACAGTCACTTGGCAAGTTCTATTCATCAATAAGTGGTCGTATAATGCATGACTTACTCTGGCACTTGGATGTATAATTTGTAGTTTAAATAATGACTCCTTTAATTGATTTATCCTCCTGTTGGATCCTGTGCTGTATAGGTGCAGGTGTCAAGATGGCATTAAAGAAGGAATAAAGGAAATGTAAACATATTTTTCTGGCATGTTTTTCTTCCCTGGAGCTACTGTTTAACTCTCCTCGAGGAGCCCCGCATATGATAAAAGCATTCTTGTGCACAACTCCCGCTTAATCCCCGTACAAATCCAATCAAAAGTGCACACCGGGGCCTGAGGCGTGCTGCAGTAAACGTTACAGCTATGAAATTCATGATTAAATCAGATTGTGAAAACATAATCGTCTTCATGTTATTTAACTGGTGCAATAAAGGAGTGACTATGCAAATACTTTTGCTCCAGTAGGTTCTTACCCAACAGCTGTGGTTGCAGGTAGAGATGGATGGATTTATTGGCTTTAAGGCAGATTGGAGCTGTCAGTGGCTCATAATTAAAACAGTTAGCTGACAGGTAATGTTGGCTGAGTGTAGGTAAATACACAATTTTACTCAATAGCTTTGAGGTTTTTAGTCTCAAAACAGAGCAAATAATGCCTCACCAGGCCTGAAGGAGCTGCTTAGAAGAATACCAGAAAACAATGTTTTATGTTGGTCGATGTTCAGTTTGAATGTCCTGACACATCCTGTATCTGATGACAATCTCTAGGCTTTGTTCGGGATGTGCGGTGCCTGGCTGGTCTGCTTCTTACTGACCGTCTTTGATGTCTTCCCTTCAAAGTCCGACGAGTATGGCTTCTCAGCCAGGACTGACATCAGCCTGGACGCTGTGGCAAACTCCCCCTGGTTCCACGTGCCATACCCAGGTAAGTGCATAAATACCAACTCATTTTAGCTCATGGGTCACATACAGCCCAGTTTGATCTCAAGTGGGCCAAACCAGTAAAACCATCCCATAATAACTTATAAATAAGGGTCTGTGTGTACATAGCATTTTTTTTTTTCAGTTGTTCCAAATGAGAAATGAGCGTATGCAGCCGCCTGGAGCCTTTGATCAGAGCGCTCTGCCCTTTTTTGTGCGGTTGCTACAAGCTCATTATACCATGTCTTTAACTGCCTGGAAAGCAGGAGGTCAGGCGCTGGGTGCTACTCTTGTGCCTTTTCTATGCCAACTTACGAGAGCGCAGTTGTCAGGTTGCATCTGGTTGCTAGGCTAACTTTAACGAGCGCCGTATCATTGCCTGTTTACCTGAAATCCTGAGTGCAGAGCTGATCTTCTTCTAGACGCTGTTTGTGTGTCGGCCTGTTGTCAGTGAGACAGATGTAAGGCTCTGACAGCTCTGCACTAACATGATCGACTTCTCCTCCATATTTATCACAGACTGATATTTATGGATGACGGGAAAGATATTTGCTGGCTGTGATTGGTTGTTCCTCGTCACATGACGTGTGGTGCGTGCTGCCGCATTCCAAAAGTTGAACTCCGTTTATTTCAGGACACAGCCATCATGCTTTGAAAAACAGGCACTCGGGGACACTGCTCTGGCATCGCTCTGGCCTTTAAGTGCACCTGGCACACATCTACATTGAAAACATTTTGAGTATGTACGGCCCCGTCAGTTGAAAATCTTTGAACTTTTCAGAAATGTCCAATTAACGTCCCTGCCGCCTCTTTAGCTTGGTAGCTAATGTAGTGCTGCATTAGCTACGACCTTAGTGTCAAGACATTGTTTTAACAGAAACAAAACCCATGCTCAGCATGTCAAATAAAAAAAAGCGTGGGGATGAAGTGCTCCCCAGAAGAAAAAAAAAAAAAACGCTACACAGGCCTTCACAACACCCCAAAATGTCTCCATTTGTTTTAGTGCAAAGAAGCACATTCTGAAAAACATTCATTGATAAACAGCCTGAGATCTCTCAGTAAGTAATTGTGCAGTTTCAAAAAAATGTCTCGTTTAATCCAAATTTAGTCAGTCTACCACTCACTGCCATTACATATGAACGCTGGCATCCCCACAAACACCAAACTAAAGTGGAAGCTGTTGAGGAAGCACTTTAAGTCATTTCCTCTCTTACAGACCATTTACAAATCTAAAGTTTTGATGGTGCCTTAGCAACACGATTTCACCAGTACTGGTAAAAGACAGAAGTCTGCTGAATGGCGTAGAAAAATTTCCCAAATAAACCTTACGTTTGTCTCACAAGTGTAATTATTTAGGCATTAAATTAAAAGAAGCTTGCAGCCACTGCCCCCTCTGAAGGTAGATTATAACTTTATCTGTCCAGGTGCTGAACTGCCCTCACAGTTGAGTTCCACCTCTTTAATTCCACCAACATCACATTATTAAGAAACAATTAGATAATCAATTATTGATCTTTGTGAATCAATGCCGAATCATCCACATGCGCATCATAATGCATCTAAGAATGGATTTTTTTCCCCCCCACCCCTAATATTTTGTGATTTGAGCAGGTGCAACACGTGGTCACAAGGATGGATTATTGATCTGTTAGGTTGTATCAGTATTGATGATAACCATGTTGTTAAGAAAGGGAATATTGATATTATGTTAAAAATACGCATTTGAACATTTCTTGTAAATAATTCACCACCTCTTATATCATTTCTATTTCTCTCCGTTATTGCTCTGTCCCCCTCAACGCAACCTGGTTGCCTTTTCACTAAGTCACTAAGTCAGTGCTCTTTTTATACAGTTTTGTACAGTTATGGTTACGGGTTCTCTATCACCGCGTCACCTCCCGACACTCGTATTTTGGGTGTAATTTATTTGTTTAAAAAAAAACCCACACATGTACAGAGATTGCATTATTTTGTACAGGAAGCATTATGTTGGTGCTGACTTGTCACTAACAATCAGTCTGTCAGTTATTGCTATAATGAATATCAGAGTGTCCCGACAGTCAGAAGTCATTTAAAGTGCTGAGCTTTGTGGTTCCTGCAATTAATTCTAATTGTCTGTCAGCCTCTCTTTAATTCTGCTGCTTAGCTGCAGTTACACAACTACTCTTTAATGATCCGCCAAAATGTCGCTTAATCTGTTGGAGAGATTTACCAATGTTGCTTTAATTGCTTCAAGTGTATCTCCTGGTAATTTACTGTTGAACGATCTGTTAAGTGACAGATTTTCATAACCGCACTGGGACATTAAGCCTCCTGACAGTCAGCTGGCTACGACTGAAAGTTAATCTGGCAACAACTCATGCAGTATTTCCATGTGGAGCATGTGTCCCGTAGTTTCAAGGAACATGTGCTGCTTTAATAAAATTCAACAACCTTTGGACTGATCTATCAAAGCCAGTCATCATTTTAACTATTCATGGTTTTTATCTTATCTGTTATAGATATACAGTATATGTTTCTTTTCTCTCTCTTTTCTATCCTTTATTTAAACTCGGAAATACACAATGTGGCCGAGTGAACAATATGAATTAAAAGCACTGAGACACAGAAAAAAAAACAAAGACACACGTACATAAAAGTAGCAACAAGACGTAAAAAGCAATAAAACCACACAATTAAAAATTTAAACAAATAAATTAAAAGCATCAGTGATGAATAAACCTGTTAAACATTAAACACACTAATCAGGTAAAACAGGAACACCTAGGGAATAAAATATGAGACAGTTAAAGATTTGAGTTGCCCTCTGGATAAAAATGAGGAAAGCATTAAATTGTCCTGCCACGTTAAATGAACAATATGAAACAACGCTGCTTTTATTTTGTTTCCAGTGAGATATTAAGTTTATATTGTGACTTTGCTGTTTTAATATTACTGTTGCTGCTCTAGAAACATTTAGTTATAAAATATTCAGTTGTATTCCTGTTGTGACATCATTCTTTTTGTGAATGTTACACTGTTAGTTCTCTGAGAATCACTTTCATATATCGGCAACAATTGGTATTGTAACTGGAAAATCTTCAGTCGAATAGAAATCAAATCGGTTCAAGAAATCAGTGGCGACACCCAGTTGCTGCGCTGCTGCTTCTCTCCTGTCAATGTCGGAGTTTGACTCACAAACACACACACACACACACACACACGCACACATCTCTTCTTTACGACTCAGTGTGGTGGATCAGACCTGTAATTAGTCTTATCTGTTATCCTCACCAGATTTACTGAGGATGAATGATAGTAAGAAACCTTCCTCCTCTCCGTTACAGATTTTAAAAGCTGTTGCTGCTGTTTTAATCCTCAGATATTTTAGAATATTTGACAAGACTTTGAGTTGTTCCACCAGCTGTTAAATCAGTCTCCTGAAAAACGAAATTGAAAGTGCCCTGAACTGATGTCTCCCTTACATTTATTTTGTAGTAAGATTACATATCATTGTGTCAGCTCTGGTAGTTTCCAGCTACGCTCTGCCAAAGTGGTTGCTTTTTAATGATCCCCAGGTTTTAACAGATCTCTGGGAAAACTGCAGTTTCCTACTCAGCACCATGGACATGCAACAATCTTCAAAAAGATTATAAATTAGAAACACTTTGGTCCATTGATGAATTTAAGGGCATCCCAAAGAACGTGGTGACAGAGACGTGCTTGTTTTTCTTGAGAGGCCACTATGTTTGAATAGCTGTTGTTTTATTCAGGATTTTTGTATTTTATATTGTGTTTGTTGCATTTTAAATGTGCTCTGATTGGCTGCTGCCTCGGCCAGGTCTCAATTGGACCTCCTGGTTAAATAAAATAAATTCTGTTGTTTTCCTTGTGTCCTCACACTGACATCAACTGGAATTCTAAATATTTAAGCTGATCCTCCTCCTCGTTTCCTCACCCCAGGGCGTTCAAACCTTTGTCACCTTTTTCACCTCTAATGAGTTGCACCCGTGTTTTTACCCTCCCACATCTAACACCTCTGCCTGACCCTCTCACCCCCTAACACCTTTTCTTTGTATCCTTATCTGCTCGTCCTCTCAGATCTGTACACCAGTTGTTGCATAGGGTCCTCAGGGTGAAGCTTAACACAGGAGATTTGCTGTGAGGGCTCCATGTTTCTGACAAATGAAGTGATCAGGGATCAGATAAGCTCAGTGTCCTCTCCGAAAACTTAATTTATAAGTTATAAAATAAAATGGCTCTAAATTATAGTTTTTGTTTTTAGCTTGTATTCATTAATTTATTTAGAGTTTTATTAATTGTTTTTTATCTTTGTTTCCAATTCTGTATTGAACTCGTTACAATTTGTATTTCATGTTTTTATGCAGGTGGAGCACTTTATTAACTTGTTTCTGAAAAGTGAGATATAAATAAAGTTTAATGTTATGTATAACTTTGCTCTGTAGGGATAGAAATGTCTCCTAGAAATGAATTTCTTCAGTTCTGCTGAGGGTCGTTGTTTTTATGAAAAACAGATTGCACACTAAACTATGCTTCCATAAATATTTAAATACCACCGAGGTTACGTTTCGAGCTTCATGCTCTTCATCTGACAAAGAGCATGAAGCTCGAAACTTCACCTCGGTGGTAATTAAACATTTATAGGAGCATGATCTAGTGTGCTCTCTGTTTATTCACTTCTTGCATGATCTCTTGTCCAGCGAGTTTTTGATTGTCTGCATGTGTGCGCTTTTGTGAACTCACTGGTTTACAGCCCTGTTATAAAGAAGAACTTCAACATATTTTATATCAGATACTTTTGTGAAAGGATCTGATATAAAATAAGAATATATAAAAAAGAGCGCAGCCTTGTGGAGAGCCGCTCTTAGAACAGGATCAGAGAAGCAGCGTCCCACATTCACCTGAGGAATTATTTGTTACAGAAAGGTTTCTGCTGAGATGAATTCAGTCACAAAATGTTAGGAAATAAAATCTTAGTATGATATTTGAATCTGTCCAGATGTTTATTGACAGATCAGGTAGAGTTGGTATGGTGTCCTGTAAACCAGGGATCCTCTACTTTCTCTGCCTGGGGCGGCACTTCTGCAAAATGACGGGAGGCCAATCCTCACTCAGCTTTGCCATGAGGCAAATCCTGTCACTGTCACTCAGGGCAGCGTTCGCAGGGCATTTACAGCATGGAGTAGATATTTTGGGGGGTGGGTGTGCAGGGGGCACAGCTCACTCAATATTTATTTATTTAGGCTTAAAACATGAAAGTAGCACCCATTTCTTAGATGAAATTCAAGATGTTTCCTCCATAAACTGATGCAGAAAATTCACCAAAATGTCAGAAATTAAGTGTTTGAAACCCCAAACTAACGTATGTGGCCCACGGGTCATAAGTTCAGTATCCCTGATGTCAACCTTTGTGCTGGCAGATGATTTGTACGGCTGCCAGTGGTTTAGGAGGGATGGTTTGTCTTTTGACATATGAACCCACTCGACCTCACAGGTCTGATAGCTGTTCCCTCAGTCAAGACTAAACATGGAACATTAAATAGTTAATGTGTCATCCAGAGCTGAAACAGACCTCTGACGTTTTTATAATGTTGAAGGATTCTGTCATAGCTCCAGTCTGTGAGTTACAAGTTGTGTGTCTGTAGCTGTATGTGTGGAAACTTAAGTATTTTTTCTCTCTTCACACAGGTCAGTGGGGTGTCCCCACAGTGAGCGTGTCTTCAGTTCTGGGTATGATGGCAGGCGTCTTGGCATCGACCATGGAATCAATCGGGGACTACTACGCTTGTGCTCGCCTGTCTGGCGCTCCTCCTCCACCGACTCATGCCATAAATCGAGGTATCGCAGTAGAGGGCATCGGCTGCATCCTGGCTGCACTGTGGGGAACTGGAAACGGCACCACCTCCTACAGCCAGAACATTGCTGCACTGGGCATCACCAAGGTACACCGCAAAAAACTCTCCTCCTGTGTTTTTGGGCTCTTAAACTCTAATGTGCAACATTTTAGCAAACAGTTGGGTACTTACAAGTGGGCATCAGTCATTATGTTTCCTCAGATTGATTCATATTACTGTAGGTGGCCTAAAGATAAAAATGTCCGGTCTGTTTGCAACATCAGATTTTGATTTCACTAATTCTTTGATTTACTATACATTATTAGAAAGTTAGTGCTGTACACTATGGTCAGCACCCAGCGGGCTGAGAGCTGACTGGGGAAGTGTGGAACATCTTGCTTTTTATTTCAGCATCCATGTGAACAGGTTAGAGCCACAAGGCCTTTGTGAACAGCGTGGCTGAGGTGTGACTTGGCAGCAGATCAGCTGTGGCCCTTCCCTCCTGACGCCTGCGGTTCGCAGCAAAAATAATAGCCAGTGAAAATGACGACATTATCCCAGTGACATTACACCTTTCACTACAGTTTCAGTATCTGTGTCTGTAGAATGCCTTACAGAACTCGATTTGTTTTGTTTCCCTTTCAAATGAGAAGCCCTCTAACATTTCTGTACAGAATCCCTGTATTTGTTAACACAAGACTTTTATTTTTGTCACTTTTATATGACACAAACTCGGAAACTAGAAAGACGGGCTGGCAGGAAGCAGCACCACAGCAGAAACGCTGCCTGTGTGAACACCACATGTGTGTGAGCCACAGTTGTTCAGTGAAGTAGCTGTCATGCACAGGTAGAGGTAGGCAGCGGGCCCCGGGTGTTAGTGATGCTTATGTAAGCATTACTGATGTTGCAGCTGTTGAAGCCCCAGCTAATTAATATGTTTTTTATCTACTCGGTCTCATACAAGGAAGTTTAATCCATAATAATACAACATAATTAATTACTTCCCTGGTAGCAGTAGCTCAGTCCATAGGGACTTGGGTTAGGAACCAGAGAGAGTTGCCATTCAAGTCCCCATCCAGACCAAATATTGTGCGTGGACTGGTAGCTGGAGAGATGCCAGTTTGCCTCTTGGGCACTGCCGAGGTGCCCTTGAGCAAGGCACTAGACCCACAACTGCTCAGGGTGCCTGCTCACATGCAGCCCCACACTCTGATATCTCTCCATTTAATGCATGTTTAGATCCTGTTTGTGTATGTGTGTGTGTACTCTGGACCTGTGTGCATGACGACAGAATTTCCCCTCGGGATTAATTAAGTGTATTTTCTAAGTTTATCTTCATCTGAATCTGCAAAGTAACTAATATTGTCAAATAAATGTAGTGGAGTAAAACATATATTGGCTTCTGAACGTAGTATAAAATGGATACACTCAAGTAAAGTACAAAGACCTCGAACTTGTACTTGGGGGCAGTTTAACTGTTTAAAAGAGAGTACCCTGGAGTTTCCTTGTGATTTGTGTTTCCTTGAAACAGTATTTAGTTTAGTTTCAACTTGTGTATTCAGCATTGTGTTGTTTTCTAACTCATCTTCCCTCAGTGACTGATGGTTGATGTCACATTTTAGTGCTGCCGTTTTGGCAGGGACTCAGAGAGATAAATAACTCGAGCATCCAGGTAACATAAAGGTAAAATACAAGGAGAAATAAAAATAATTTACAGAAGCAGCATCGCGTGTATATCATGGCTGATATCATCGCGTTTTGGGTGGACTGGAACCTGTAACACACCCTCGGGGACAGTGACTGAGTTTGAGGGGTCAGATGTAATTTAGCCCTAACTTTTGATCATGCTGTCATAGGTACGCCTGTAATGTTGGATGATTTGTCGATTGTGTGCTGCAGTTGTTTGTGAGTCTCATTGTTGAGCTGCTGAGGGACTAACACTTTTAATGATGGTCATATAACTGAAAGAGAAGAAGACGCATGCTTCGATTTCAACTCCTTTACAAGCCTTTTTTTTTTTTTTTTTTTTTTGATTCGTGGCCTGAGATGAATTGTTGATATGGATGCTGATAAATTTCATCTAGTTTATAGTGAGTTACACCGAGATTTATGCTTTTAGTCCTATTTCTTGACAAAACTCCCCCAATATGTTGTTAGATAATAAACTGTCATCTTTACATTCTGATAAAACGGAAAGAACTGTACAAACAGAAGAATGAATAATAGGGCCGGGCAGTATGGACAAAAATATTATCATGATAAAAGTTTTGATATGTGTCTAATGATAATTATCACAATAAGCATCAGATCATTTTTTTCTTTCAAGTTTAAAGCCTGATTTTTGCTCCTGAGTATAAGTTAAAGGTTAATTGAGGTTTAAGTTATTCAGACAGTTTATTCAGATAGATTCAAACAATCAGAATCAAAATAATGTCAATAAATAAAACTATAAATAGACAAAGAAATCTTGACTCTGGTCAGCAGCATGTTTAACCCTTTATGGACAATTTTAAAAAGTATTTTAGCTGACAGTGTAAAGAAAAGAAACAAACAAAGGAAAAATCGTATCTGTGATCTGTGTTTTCTGAACTAGTTTTAATCCCAGTGTGTAATTTCGGCTGCGAGGTCTCTCAGTCGAAACACTAAGGTTGCTTTCACACCTGCCCTGTTTGGTTCAGTTCAATCAAACTCAAGTTTGTTTGCCCCCTTAGTGCGGTTCCTTTGGGCAAGTGTGAACACAGCAATCGCACTCAGGTGTGCACCAAAACAACCGGACAGAAACCTTCTTGAAGAGGTGGTCTCAGTCTGGTTACAAAAGAACTCTGGTGCGGTTAGTTTGTGGTGAGAAGGTGTTCCGACCTGGATGTGAAGCAACTGCAGTCACATGACACATTGTTTGGGTTAAACATGAGCATGTTACAGTCCTGGAGGATTATTAATGTGCACCTCCTCCTGTACTGCCTTAATATGCACATTCAGCACATCCAATGCATCAAAACATTGTTTTCTAGTTGGAGCCGCGCCTCGTTTTCAAACTGTATGGTTTGACTAAAATGAACAGTGACAGCAATATAGTCCACATGGACATTCTGACCAATCAAGAGCAGCTTTCTGACGCAGACATTTGATCTGGTCCTCATGTAAATGCTGCCGTGAGAACACGAACCAGCTCTAAGCTATTATACTAACTTTGGAACAACTGTGACTGTTTATGAGTGTTTTCTGACTTTCAGACTCGTCCACTAGTGTAAGTGTAAACTTCTGTTTAAATGCAAAGGAAATGAGTCAGTAGGAAAATCCCTACTGGCAACTGGTCTTTGAGGTGCATTAGCACCCCCCTCTTCCTTTGTATGTGTGGTTTATTTATACCAAACATTTGCCAATAATTTGTTATATATCTGTCAAGAAAAATTATATCAAGATCCTGTATTGTGTCTTCTCTTGGCAAACACTGACAACGTTCATGTTGAAGTTCGAGACTTGGAATGTATTTCGTTGTATTTCAGTAGAATGGTATGTAGAAAGTATAAAGCACTTAGTCATGGTGTCAGTTTGAGAAAATTACTGCCTGTCTTTGAGCAGTTCAGAAAAGAGCCTTTGCTTAAGCTCAGTGTTTTACGGCAGGTTTGACCTGGGCATTCTTTTTGAGACGCTACTTTCTCTGTTGTCTGATGTTTACATCTACCTTACACCCATCGCAGAGCAGATTGATAGGGTCCTTGTTCTTCTAAGTGCTTCTCAAAGGCTTTTTTTCCCATCACAGTGTCACAGTGAAAATAAAGCTGACACGGTGAGAATGATGAATGAACCCATGTTGTATTCACAGGATAACAAGATCCTGTGCTCATTTTACACCAGGTTGGCAGCCGACTGGTTCTCCAGACGACCGGTGTTCTTATGATGGTCCTGGGGATCTTTGGGAAGTTTGGAGCTGTATTTATCACCATCCCAGACCCGGTCATTGGGGGCATGTTCCTCGTTATGTTTGGAATGATTGCAGCAGTGGGGATATCCAATCTCCAGGTAAACACATTTCAATGTTCTAACACATATCTGGTGGACACTTTTATCCAAGTCACCTCCTGAATGGAGGAACACTTTATTTGGGTAGCTCAAAGTGCTAATAAATTACCAAAATAACAAAAAATAAAATGTTGCAAAAATCCAACAAAACAGAAAAATAAATTAGTAAAGTTGGTGTGAAAAATAGGAAAACAAAATACCAAACTGATTATATGAAACTGAGATTAAAAAGATGAGCTCAGCTGTTTCTTAAATCATTTACATCTGCATGTCATAAGTTAAATACCACACCACTGCTCACTCTGTATGGATTTTTTCTCCTCATGGCAGTTGCTGGCCCTCTAGAGGTTGAGTCCAAAATGCATCCCTGATTGTCTTCTGAGGGTGGTGGTACACTTATAGTTGGCAGTGTAGTTGGGAAACCGTCCAAGCAACAAGCAACCGTATGAACTAAGGTCAACTGTGATCCTGTTTCCTGGCACTAGATTTGTGTATGTGATTAAAGCAGGAGGCAAGGGCAGGTCTTTAGCACTGTTGCCCATTAAAACAACCCACAAACAACAGAAGTCTTTTACATTATTAACATCAGGAGATAGAGTTTTATTATTATTATATATAAGTTAAAGAAATGTCATTATTGTGTAGTTACTTGTTGTATCATCAAGCTGAAGACAATCCTGGTGAAAAACATGAACAGGCTTCCGTATTTTATGATACAGAGGAGTAATGAGGGATTTGTTGACCTTTAGCAGCAGGCAGGAAGCAAATGGACAACATTTACGACGCACTGGAAAAATATTTGGAGAAATCTGACGGACACATTTGATGAAAACTACGCTGTCAAACAATCAGTTTTTATATCACGATTAATCATTACATTTAATTTAATTTAATTTTTTAATTTAATTTTCTATACTTTATTAATCCCTGAGGGGAAATTCAATTTTTTTCACTCTGTTTGTCAGTTACACACAGGTCCGAACACACACATGCACAAACTGGACCTATACGTGCACTAAGTGGAGAGATGTCAGAGTAGGCTGCCCATGACAGGCGCTCCGAGCGGTTGGGGGGTTCGGTGCCTTGCTCAGGGGCACCTCGGCAGTGCCCAGGTGGTGAACTGGCACCTCTCCAGCTACCAGTCCACGCTCCATATTTTGGTCCGGACAGGGACTTGAACAGGCGACCCTCCGGTTCCCAACCCAAGTCCCTATGGACTGAGCTACTGCCGCCCCAATTTCAAGTTAATCCTGATTAATAGCATTTTTAATTACATATTACATAAAATTCAATTATTTTGCATTTCAAAACAGTTTAGTTTTTGGCCCAATTGTTGAAAACGCACCCTAAAGTGCCCTCCTGAGACCCAGAATGCACCCTAAAGTGCCCTCTTTGGAGCCAAAACGCACCCTAAAGTGCCCTCCTGGGAGCCAAAACGCAACCTAAAGTGCCCTCTTTGGAGCCAAAATGCACCCTAAAGTGCCCTCCTGGGAGCCAAAACGCACCGTAAAGTGCCCTCTTTGGAGCCAAAACGCACGGTCAGGTGCCCTCCTGGGAGCTAAAACGCACCGTAAAGTGTCCTCTTTGGAGCCAAAATGCACCGTAAAGTGCCCTCCTGGGAGCCAAAACGCATCCTAAAGTGCCCTCTTTGGAGCCAAAACGCAACCTAAAGTGCCCTCTTTGGAGCCAAAACGCACCCTAAAGTGCCCTCCTGGGAGCCAAAACGCACCGTAAAGTGCCCTCTTTGGAGCCAAAAACGCACCCTAAAGTGCCCTCCTGGGAGCCAAAACGCACCCTAAAGTGCCCTCCTGGGAGCCAAAACGCACCGTAAAATGCCCTCTTTGGAGCCAAAATGCACCCTAAAGTGTCCTCTTTGGAGCCAAAACGCACCCTAAAGTGCCTTCTTGAGAGCCAAAACGCACCCTAAAGTGTCCTCTTTGGAGCCAAAATGCACCCAAAAGTGCCCTCCTGGGAGCCAAAATGCACCCTAAAGTGCCCTCCTGAGAGCCAAAATGCACCGTAAAGTGCCCTCTTTGGAGCCAAAACGCACCCTGAAGTGTCCTCTTTGGAGCCAAAACGCACTCTGAAGTGCTCTCTTTGGAGCCAAAATGCACTCTGAAGTGCCCTCTTTGGAGCCAAAACGCACCCTAACGTACCCTCCTGGGAGCCAAAACACACCCTAAAGTGCCCTCTTTGGAGCTAAAACGCACCCTAAAGTGCCCTCCTGAGAGCCAAAACGCACCCTAAAGTGCCCTCCTGAGAGCCAAAACGCACCGTAAAGTGCCCTCTTTGGAGCCAAAATGCACCCTAAAGTGCCCTCTTTGGAGCCAAAACGCACCCTAAAGTGCCCTCTTTGGAGCCAAAACGCACCCTAAAGTGCCCTCTTTGGAGCCAAAATGCACTGTCAAGTGCCCTCTTTGGAGCCAAAACGCACGGTCAAGTGTCCTCTTTGGAGCCAAAACGCACCCTAAAGCGTCCTCTTTGGAGCCAAAACGCACCCTAAAGTGCCCTCCTGGGAGCCAAAATGTACCCTAAAGTGCCCTCCTGGGAGCCAAAACGCGTGCTAAAATGCCCTCCTGGGAGCCAAAACGCACCGTAAAGTGCCCTCCTGGGAGCCAAAAAGCACCCTAAAGTGCCCTCTTTGGAGCCAAAACGCGTGCTAAAGTGCCCTCCTGGTTGGCAAAACACACTAAACTGCCCTCTTGGGTGGAAAAAACACACTAAACTCCAGAAGACTGTTAGGACCAAGAAATACTATGAAACATTACTGTTGTAATGACTTTTATGTTGGGCCCTTTTTTGATCTATATTGAGCCAGAACTATATCTCACAGAACCCGTTTGGATTATCTGGTGCTAATATGGTGTTAAAATGCACTAGAATACAGGAAATGGCATCTACTTAATTGAAAATGTTTTGGGGGAGGACCCAGGGATTTATTTCCTTCATACATCCATGTCTCTGTGTTCTTCACAGTTCAAAGTTGAATCTACACAGTTCTCATGGGTGCTGATCCTAACTACAAACTAACTTGAGTAGTCTGTCTAGTTAGTCTGTTTTAAGGCTATATAATGTGCCATTTGTATAACATATAAACATGTCTAAAGTGCCCTCTTCAGTGGCAAGAACGCGCTGTATGTGCCCTTTTTTTTTCTTTTCGCCCCTGCTCTACAAAAAGTCTGTGCACACCACTGCACACAGGACTCCACATACAGGTCTACAGTCAGTTTCGACTCATTTAGCAGTGACGTATTTAACTTCTTCGATTTAGTTTCATCCACAGGTCTGTGGTGATTGGCTCACTCCAAAGTAATGCCTTGCCGGCTTTGGTGATGTGGCTGCCTGCTGACATCAGTCTGATTTGCTGCACCTGTGTGATCAGTTCGCAGGTGGCAGCTCAAACTTGAAGTCTTTTAGTGATAATTCTGTTCAACACAAGGTGCCCATCACTTTTGTGTTGTAAACTGAGCTATCCTGGAGTTTTTTTTAAGTGAAAGGATCCATTCAGGAGCACAGTAGTGCCTTATTTTTCATCAATGTGGAAGCTGCTGTAGTGGTTTGATCACAAGTAAGAGTGCGTCAGAGAGACAGATAGTGGTTAATGTGTTGATAAAAAACAAACAGTCCTTGATCACATCGTGATTAATTCATTAACGCTGACAGACCTAATAAATACCTAAAATATCACAATGTTAAATCTTACGCAATATTTTAAATCTTTTACAGGGTTCCCACAGATCCCTAAAAAGTCTTAATAGGCATTTACTTTATTAATCTAAAATCAAAGCCTTAACTGATATTTAAATGTCCTAAATCAATCTTTCAAAAGTCTTAAAAATGCTAAAACATGGGAAGTTGGATTTCATGAGATGTTTTGTCTGACTTGGCATTGTAAAATAGTTGGTAACTTATAAAAAAACAATTACAGACTGTGTTTCACATTAATGTCACCAAAATGTCACGTTTTGTGTTACAACAAATATTTTGGCCCCTCAGTAATTCACGTCTGTTCATTTTTTCTGTAATTCAGTATTTTGATGAGGGGTTCTTTAGATTCCAAGAAGCAGGGAGTTTAAGGGAGTTGTGAAATATTTTCTGTGTACTTTTAATCACTCATAAGACCCACCCACACAGTGTATTTTTCCCATAATATTTTTTTTCCCATCAGTGTTTGTAAAAACATGAAACATCATATGAGGGTTTTGTGTCCATATTCTCATAATTATTTTGTTTTTACTGAACAACGTCAGCTCCCATGAGTCTAAGGCCCAATCCACATTTTCCCCCTCGACTCTACGCCAAGTTTTGGAGTGCCCTCAACAGAGTATTAGCCCTTCAGAAGGAAGCCATGATAACTGTTAATGTGTTATGTTGATCTGTTCTGTACGACATCCTGAGGTTTCTACCATTTTTTTCCCCTGTTAAAGGTTTTTTGGGGGGAGTTTTTCCTTATCTGCTGTGAGGGTCCTATGGACAGAGGGATGTTGTATACTGTAAAGCCCTGTGAGGCAAATTGTGATTTGTGATATTGGGCTTTATAAATAAAATTAAATTGATGAGGGATAGGGTTTGAAATCTTAACCTAGGAAATGGGACGGCACTCGTCACATCATCATACCAACAATGATACACACGTAAGTTAGTAGATAGTTAAAAGTAATGAATAATTGTTAAAACAGCTAGACGCAACGGATCAACAGTAGAAATATCATTAGTAAGCCAAAAGTAATAGATGAACAGTAAAAACAGTTAGCTAAAAGTAACGGATCATGGATTAAACAGTTTGTTAAAAAATAACTGTTAAAAACGGTTGAAATAGCATCTAGCTAGCTAAAAGTAACGGATAATGGTTGAAACAGTGACAAGTAATGGATAATGGCGGAAACTGTTCGCTAAGTGTAACTGATAAGTGGTTGAAATAAGGTTAGCTAAAAGTAACTGACAAGCGAAGGAAACAGCATTAACATTAGTTTGCTAATAGTAATTATTAAACATTGAAATTGTTAAAAGTAACGGACCAACAGTTGAAACATCTGTTAACACAATACTGATGTTTCTAAAATACTCGTTATAGCGATCAAACTACATATTCCTTTGCGTCTACATCAAACTGAGATATTCTAACGGGTTTGAAGATGTTTGAATTATTATTTGCAAAGGAAAACTTAAATTAATCAGCTTCTTTGCCGGCACCAGTGGCAGCCATGTTACATGTTTTCTTGTGGGAAGTTTGTTCTGCCACTCTGTCGGGAGACTGCAACTAAAAGCAGTCCGTTTGAGCGCCACCTAGAGGGCTGGGTGACCACTACCCGTTGACCCTACCCTACGCAGCAACACTCAAAACGAGGTGGTTTGGACAAGGGGGAGAAATGAAATTGGGCCTTAGTCATAGGTGTCAAAACCTTGTGGGAGCTACAGCCATAGTACATACTGTATACAAAACAGTTGTTTGTAATGACGAGGTGCTCAGCTTTAGCTCAGAATATGGACAGAAAACCCTGGGATGATATTTCAGTTTTTCATGAAGAATAATGAAAGAAATCTTCTTTGGTAAAAGACATTAGAGCTAAAAGCGACTGGAACAGAAGCTCACAGTCTCAGCTCACCTCAGACAAACCCGTTCACTGTCACTTAGTGTAACAGGGCTGGACAAATAAAGGGGAATCTTGGACCGGAATAGAAATCAGGTCTTTTTTGAGGTTCCAGATTATTTCTAATCACAAGTTCCAAAACCGAGACGGCGCCCAGCTAAAGCAGAGCAACAAAATAAAGTCTTTGTTTGTCTGTCTGTCTCTCTGTGTCTCTCCAGTATGTGGACCTCAACTCGTCCCGTAACCTCCTCATCCTCGGCTTCTCCACCTTCAGTGGTCTCGTGTTGCCTACGTGGTTTCACTCCAATCCTGGCATCATTGACACAGGTGATCCTCAGAGACACGTACACTCACTCATGCACACACAAAGTACTTGTGTCTTCATTGACTCAGTCCTATAAAATGTGAACAGGCCCTGAAACTATTAAAATATCTAAGGAGTTTTAATGGACTGAATCAAGAGGGAAAGAGAGAGATTGGTAGTGTTCCCCTTCTGCGTCCTTAGCAGTAGGGATGATGTGAATTACATGGAGCAGAGAGCGGTGGTCATCATCTACACGCTGCGAGAGTGTTTCTGTAGACGGTCCCTCAGCGCTGTGTCTAACCTGTGTAACAGTGGCAGAGAGTGTTCTTATCCAGGGGGGATTCAGATAATCAAAGACGTCAGCTGAGTGGGCCGGCTTCAGACACATTAACGTGCACCCTGCTGGAAGAGCCATATAAGGCTCAGACCGCCTGCAGATGGGGTCTCAGTGATCGGATCTCAAAACGCATTGAGGGCGCATTTGGTGCATTCACACCTGTACTCAGAGCTGTCCACCTGTGATCTGATCACCCAGGACACAGGTGTAAACAAGGCAGGAGTTTTTTTTTTTAAAGATATTTTTTCAGGCATTTTTTAGCCTTTAATTGATAGGACAGATGAGTGTGAAGGGGGGAGAGAGAGAAGGAGTGACAGGCAGCAAAGGGCCACAGGCTGGAGTCGAACCCGGGCTGCTGTGGCAACAGCCTTGTACATGGGGCGCCTGCTCTACCACTAAGCCACCGACGCCCCACAAGGCAGGAGTTTATCTGGGGGCTGTAAATACCAACAGATCCAGACTGGATGGGACTGCGTGATGCTGAAAGAAAAATGGGCCCATCAATCGGAATTTGTATTCCCCACCCTTACTCATATAAATATTTTTTTGTTGGTGTTCTTGTTTTTACTTTATGCAAATGTTTTAAGACCTTTTAGTGTGACTCTACGAAATGCTTCTTGGTCTCACTGTTTTATTTGTCCTTATTAAAGCAAAAACAGAATCAGCAAATAGTGGCAGAAGTTGACACATCCCAGATATAAATCCTCATGAGAGGAGTGACGTGGTCCTCTGACAGTAAGTGAGCGGCTGTGTGCTCCCACTGCTCCACTTACAGATTACCCTTAAAAAGATGGCAGCGGTTCTGCCAGCCTAAGCTTCTAAAGCCAAGGTGTTCCCAAATCCCACAGGCCCAGATGGCAAACACTTGGTTACATTTAGTCTTTAGCCCTGATTTTATAGTGACAAGAAGAACCTTTTCAATAAGCTTATCTGACCGTGAACTCCTCATCTGGTTTATTTGTTTTACCCCAAATAGGCAGTTTAAGGATGAAAATGTCAGTCGGTTTGTATTTCCTAGGGGTCCGGCTGTCGGATCAGACCACATGGGTCCAATCGTGTGGGTAGCTTGATAAAATAAACACTCAGCTGGACCCTATGGTAGCTTACCTTTTACACTTGTTACACATTCACAAATTACTTTCTGCTTGTTATCGGTCAGGGTCGAAGGCTGATGTTCATTTCAAGTTTAAAAATGTGGGTGTTGTCAGTCCCTGTGAGACAGAGACTGTAAGGCTGATTCAAACAGGCTTGTCTTGATTATACGTGACATCAGCTACCAGGGGAAACTACAGTTACAGCAGCAGGGGTGTGCAGATCATTGGTGATTGTCAAAAGAGGAAGTTGACTCTTAAGGAACAACACCATGGACATAGGATCACTTGTTGTTTTTTATGATTTGACTTATTATATTTAAGACTAGACTTCGTCTTTATTGCTATACTTTATCTCCTTACTCGGGCTGCAGGGCGTATTGCTGATGAGAGATTTTACTTTCATGGTCTTTTTAATCAGATCTCAGTCGATTTAGAAAAAAATTAATAATTTATGAGTATAGAAAAGGGTTCATGGTCATTAAAAACTATTTGAAAATGCATTTTGTTTTTGACTCACAGCTGCCATGCATCAGCTGTTCATCTGTAATGTGGTAAATATTGGCCTTGTTGACTGCCATCAGCTGATCAGCAGATAAGATGACAATCACCAATGGCACATGTCACATCAGTGCAGCGCAGGCTAAAGAGCAGGGCTTGAGGCCAACGGCATCCTGTCAGTAGGATGAAAGGACGCAGTAAACGCACCCTGTTGTTTCCCTGATGATGCTACTTTGTGGACAACAAATCTGTGTCGACAATGGTAGGACGAGAGGTAGTTAATTTTAGCTGTTAGCTAGAGATTATTAATGATAATGAAAGCCTTTTTACTTTGGGCTTTCAAAGGCAGGCAGTTTTTTAAAAATGTTTTTCAGGTAAAAAAAAAGGGTTGTACTAATCCGTTTAAATGTGTCTGACTGAATTTGTGCTCATTGAAATGTAGCACAGTGAAAGACTGAATGACTTTAAAACAGTTCTGTGATTTTTTAGAATGAATATTTTTTTTTGTTTCCTTGGCACAAAAGGGGGAACAAATAACAATAAATACAAAATAGATTAAAAAAAAAACAAAAAAAAAACATTGGTATGGGCTATTTACTAAATTGTTATTTCAAACATCAAAGTTTAAAGTGTGAAAAGTTGTAATAATTCATAGGGGTGTAAAGGTCCATCGATCTGGATGCATCCATCAATTCAATACCAGCGATCCAATTTTATCAATGCGAAGTGAAACCATCGATCATTATCATCATCTTGAGGTTACGCCTTTATTTTGAAATTCTGCATCACTCTCATACAGCGCCAGGGAAATAACAGCAAACAGCAAAGAAAAAGAGGATAACATTATTAACTATTATTAGAAGAAGAAGATTTATTTATAAAGCACATTTCATACAGAAAGCAACACAATGTGCTTCACAAAAAAAAACATGTATAAAAACATAAAGTATGAGCACATATTTACAAGCACGCAGACAGACAACAAACAAGAACATGAATGTATGCAAGCATACATGGATGCATCTTATTTAAAGTGCATAGTGATTCTAGTATTTAGTGATAAAATAAAATAAATAAATAACAGGCTAGTTAAAAACAGCAGTAAAGAGAAATGTCTTAAGTTTACTTTTAAAAGAGCTCAGTGTTGGCGCATTTCTGACATTACTTGGAAGGGCATTCCATCTGCAAGGAGCATAGCAGCTAAATGCTGCCTCTCCAGCTTTAGTGCGCACACGGGGAACAACGAGGAGACCATTTGCTGATGACCTGAGAGTTCTCATTGGCTCATATGGCACAAGTAATTCTTTAATATAATTAGGGGCAAGGCCATTCAATGCCTTATAGGCAATAAGAAGAATTTTAAATTCAATTCTGGCCTTCAATGGGAGCCAGTGTAAGGACTGAAGAACTGGGGTGATGTGTGTATATTTCTTAGTTCTGGTTAAAATACGTGCAGCAGCATTTTGAATAAATTGCAGTCGTTTGATGGATTTTTGAGGGAGTCCGGAAAAGAGGCTATTGCAATAATCGAGTCACACAAAGTCCTGAAGGTTAATATATCCCATGTGCTGTTTTACACGTGTTAGTGGAGTCAATTTAAAGTAAACTGCACTTCACTATTTACAGTTATTTACATTATATATGTGTTGTTATTTATTTTATTGCTATGAGTAAAAAAGGTGCAGCAACTTCCTCTGTGGCAGATTGTGTTAAGTGATCAGATGATATCATCTCATATCGATCACAGGCCCCTGAATTGCATCAAATTGAAATCATATTGTGGCAGACTTTGTAATATTGTCAAATATCGTATTGTTGTTCAGTGAATCGATATATCATGATTTACAGCTCTAATAATTATTTGTGAGCTCCATTTTTAACCTGGCAGCTCTGAAGGAGGGTCAGAGGGAGAAGATGAGGGAAACTGCACTCCAATGTGTCAGTTATCAAGTGTAAAACTCTCACAGTACGGCAGGGAATACAGTCGACTACTGCACCAAATCATGTGAAATGACTGGATGACCTATGTAAGACAGCGACAGCCCATGCAGCAGTTGCTAGGTAATAAGGTAAACCTTCATATTTCTGTTAACAGTTAAAAAGAAGTAAAGGCATAGCATTAATCGTCACTGCGTTCTACTCATTTTTATCTCTTTACAGACACAGGATTGGATGTCTAATCTGTAGAACCTGTAGAATCTGGTTTTATTTTAAATTTTATTTTAACTTAAAATTAGAAGTACATTTAACCGACTGTGTCATATGATATCATCTCATATCGTTTGCAGGCCTCTGAATTGCATCAAAATGCAATGGTATTGAGACAGACTGTGTAATGTCATATTTTTTTTACCCTAATAATTATTTGTGAACTGGATTTTTATCCTGGCAGCTTTTAAAGAAGCTTTGAGAGGGAAAATGAGAGAAACTCAGAGGGCAAAATTCTCACACATCACCACCTGGGTTTAATCTGGGTTTAATCCGGGTTTAATCTGGGTTTAATCTGGGTTTAGTGGCACCTCCAGGTCAGGTGTATGTTCCAGTGTACACATACAGCAGTGGTTGTAGGTGAAAATCTGGCGGATTATGTCTTTGTCACTTAATTAGTGTCACAACTGGTTGGGCAGGTAGGTGTAGGAAACCAGTTGCAAACTGGGGAGGAAGAAAAGTGATGAAAATATTAAGACAAAATTGTAAAGTATTGTTTTGCCATCCAGGAAATTCTTCATTTTACACAACTATACAAACATATATGCAACAGGTAGACGCGAATTACGTTGATGAAACATTAATCCAACAGATGAAATTAGAGCTTGTGGAGCTTTTACAAACACAAGTCTGATCAATCAGATTTTAGGACCAATCAGAGATCAATCACAGACTATTAGCTGATGGCTGCTGAGTGTCTTTGAAGCCGCCTCCTATGAGGCACTATCGACCGCTCCTCTCTGCAGACATAAGACCTTGATCCCATGAGTCATGTCATGCGAATGTCTCCCAGGAAAGTGCTAATCCAGAGTTCAACACTGGGCATGAGGGCTTGTCTGGTTCTCTCAGGTCTAGGCTGCTTACCTCCCAATCCTCTTGGCTAACCCTCATGTCACTGGCTGTAATCTGCCCAGCTCAGATAAAGCACTCTTTCCCCCAGAGTTTTCCCAGCCTCAACACTCAGCCGATAGCTCCGCACAAGAGGAGGCCTGTCAGCGCTCGTTGTAAACACACTGCTGCTTCTCCAGACGTCTTTAGATGTACAGGCTGTGGGACTTAAAACCAACTCAGCGTGTGTCTTGAACTTTTGACTACTTCCTCTCTGGGCAGGATAGGTGTGTGGGTGTGTGTGTGTGTGTGTCCGTGTGTGTATGGACGTGTGTTGGGTTCGGGTTGTTTGAACAAGAGTGTGTTTGTTCGGAGTCAAACTGCGTCAGCCCAATTTTTGATAAAAATCTTTTCCTTTTGTACAACTTTACTGGGGCTGTTTCCACATGAGCCACATGTCACCACAAGAAGGGCCAGATCAGACTCAGGAAATCGGAGCGCCACGGTGGTCTGGTGATAACAGAGGTTGCTCCTCAGCCACCAAGCATCCGATAAAAATCCAAATATCTGGACATCTGTTGACCTGCAGTGCTGGATTAATGCTCTCTTTAACTCTGCCACGCCTGCTATGAGGTGTTTGAGGGCAGCTCAGTGCACCATATCAGTTCTCTTTAAATGTTAGTTTTATCTAATTAAACTAACGCCCAGTTCGTGTGCATGCACCAACTGTGCATGCACACTTTTTTAAGTGTCAAGGTAGGGCAAAATAAATGTGTGTAAGGAGTGTGTCACACCACAGAAAAATGTGTCATTAACCACACGGCCAAATCTGAAAAAATTGCAGAGTATGTAATATTAAGATTCAAAATCGTGAAACAATTCTCTGCTCCGAGACGCTGGGGGCGTGTCCGCTGAAGGAACTGAAACGGAGAAAGTGCTGCTTACTCTGGCTGCATTTCACTTTTATTCAGATGACATTTCAGCCCTCGGGCCTTCTGCAAGATCAACTGTCATGATTGTTGATCATGACGCAGCCTAACTACTTTCAAGTCTTACCTATTCCTCATAATTCACTTCACCTCAGAAGTATCAGTAATACTTACACTAAGATCAACAAAGGCAGATAAAGAAGTTAACAGAGAAACATAAACCTACAAAATCCTGGTGGTACCCTGCCGTGCAGATAGTTTTATTTTACTTGGCCAGGTTTCAGAGATTTGTCTCTGAGATATCAGCCACCGCCCTGATACAGTGGAGGAGGGTGCAGTTTTGTTTGTGGTGATTACACAATTGAAAAATAACTGTTAGAAAGTGAGCTCCAGTGAAAACTGAGTTAAGTAGGCGTTTTGCTGCAGGTACTGGTGAGATATTAGCCCTTCTTAGACAAAGATGGTGCAGAGAAGTCCCGTCTTTATGCCCCCTTTGTGTTTTACACAACCAACCCAGGGCAGCATCATGCAGCTCCCATGTGTGATTTTAGACCGCATACCAGCATCACGGAATCAAAAAAGACGTGATTATAATGGTGTGAAATTCCTGCCGTGAGCAGGCAGTGTAGAACGGGCTAAATACGATCCAGGAAGTCCAGATTGAGCAGCCTTTTGTGTTGCCATCCCTGCTACAGCAGTGGAGTGGTTTTATTTATATGAATGAGTTTTTTTCAGGCAGTGTTAAAGTGACTCTAAATGTGGCCTCAGTGACACACTGTTTCTGAAAGGTCACTTTTTTAACACTGTGAGCACCCAGCACAGTATCCCAAAGTATTATATCTGTTCCTGGGGATTTCACACTGCTCAAATTATGTCCAACATTTGCTGCAAATGCAGGAAGCAGTGTGGCATTTATGTAGTGAGTGGAGAGTGAGTGTGTGAGCTTTCTTGTTGTGGAGACAGGAGTTTGTGCCGTACTACAGACCTGTAATTAACATTTGCCTTCTATAAACTGTTCCCACTTTACCTTTGTTTTTACCTGTGTTTTTGTTACCTAACTTTAACCATGCCTACACAGTTTATTCGGCAAAGCCAACATCTTTCCCTAACCTTGACTACACGGTAGTTACCATGCACAGGCATTCTAGAAAGTGAAAATTCAGTCAGTGGACATAATGTGGGACTTGCAGAAATGCCTTTCCTCTCTTCCATTCTGTCTCAGAGACGGGTATCTCAAAAAGTCAGTGCATGACACCAAAACTATCTCACTTCAGTTGGACTCAGTAGTTTTTAAAAATATATTTACCCAACTGTTTTTGCCCGAGATATTAGAGGTCTGACCTGGCCCATGCCTGAAAGGATAGAGACCTGAGACCAGGGACAGCCAAAAAAGACGAAGAAAGACAAAAATGTATTACACATCACATCTAGTCAGTATTTGTATGTTACAGATGTTTCCAAATTACGTTTGCTGAAAAGGGCAATGATTTTGTGCTCAAAATGTTTCTGTGACTGTACACAATCTGAAGTTGTTTCATTGAACATTACTGTGTAGGGAAATAAAGCTCAGTTGGTATTGAAATACATTGAAAATGTCCTCACAACTCTCACAAATTAAATATCCACAAAGTGTTATATTTCGTGAGCGCCATCGTTTTTATCAGTTGTTCCCAAACAAGGAGAGAGCGGATGTGGCTGCTTGGAGAAAAAGCGCCACAACCAGCGTCTTTTGTCAGAGCGCTCCAGCTTCTCTGTGCGGCAGCTGTACTGTCTCTCCTTCAGCTTCTGTCTTCCCCCGAGCTGTATGAAATGTCAGTCAGTAAAGACAGAAAAGCCCATTTGTAGGAGCAGATAGGCCGGACACTGAATGTTGCTGGTGAGTGTTGTGCTTTTATCCCCGTACAGTTTTTAAGCTTGTTGTTAACTATGTAATAAACCCTCAACGTAGTGTTACGTTTGCTGCCAAGCTAAAATTAATGTTAACATGTTGTCAGGTAGAGTTTGTCATTTAGTGTTTACAGCCCTGCTGATTATTTAACAGTTACAAAAAGTTTTGTGTCTACCAGTATATTTTTGAAAGATGACAGTGTTGCTTTTGAGTGGAAGGAATTAAGATTCAGAGTGTATGACTGGTTCAACACAGAGACATGAGTCGTCTTGTCAAGAAAGCCAGAAACAGGTTTGAGATCAGTCCAACAGATGGGCAGAGCTGGACTGTGTGGGGATTGGCTGTTATAGAGGATTTACTGTTAGACCCCTGTTGCTGTTGTTTCTAGGGCGCTTGTATTTCTCTCAGTCTTAACAAGCAGATCTTGAACCTGACCTCTGACCTCTGTGTTGAGCGGGTCAGAGCAAATAGCAGATTTATAGTTGTCTCATTGTTATTTCTCAGGCTGCTGGGTGATATTTCTTTACCCTCTTCTCTGTCTGAAGGAATTAAAGAGCTGGACCAAGTGATCGTCGTGCTCTTCACCACACACATGTTCATCGGAGGATTTTTTGGGTTTATCCTGGACAACACCATCCCAGGTATCACAGAATACATGTGTTAAGACTGAGAAGATATCAAACCAGCTACCACTACCACCAGACTGTGTCTTTTCTTTTTCAGGCACTGACAAAGAGCGGGGAATCAAAAGCTGGAGGGACAAGGTGCAACAGGGAAACAAAACCATGTGTGACCTGTCGTGCTATGACATCCCTTTCTGCAGCGGTGTTTTGAAACGGTTTAGGTGTTTCCAGTATCTGCCCTGCCTCCCTTCTTACAAGACCACCCAACAGGGTACATCCAATTAATGAAGTGTTAACTTTAAGGGCAGCACTGATGCTCGTCTATTAGTCTTAAAAAGCCAAACACTGGTCGAGGTTCTGGTACAACCCGGCTCCAAAACAGGTGCAACGCTGTGGAAAACAAAAGTAAAAACAGAATACATGGATTTGTAAATCCTTTTCTAAATATATTCAGTTGAACTCAGTACAAAGATATTTTATATTTAAACTGATAAACTTTGTTTTTTGTAAATCTCATTCTGAATTTGATGCTGCAACAGGTTATAACAAAGTTGGGACAGGAGTGTGTTCCTGGAAGAGTTATGAAATAAGAAAAACTGTTTTCCAGGCCTGGGAATGGTTTGGAATTAATGGAATGCTTTGGAAAAATATCCTTTTTTTATTTAAAATAAAAAATATTTGCTAATTTGCTTTCAGTAACATGTACTGTTGTAATAATCATATAAATCCATAGTCATTGAAAAAAAATAACAAATACACTTGTTCAGAAGAATAAACAATAAAATAATATATGTCATTGTAACATAATAACAAAATGTACATATTAACTTTCTAATTGAGCGAGTGATGCACAGATTTTGAAATTATGGGCTGATACTGATAACAGTGTATAAAATAACAATAATAGCCGATACCGATGTTTTTATATTTGTGTTTCTTTTGATTGTTGTTGTTATTTATTCTGCTTTTGTTTCCAGAAACACTACACTATAAAAAAAACTAAATGAACATTTTTAAAGTCATTCAGTGCTTCATTACACTTCACACCTTTTAATGAGCACAAATTCAATAATACACATTTATGAAACAACCTTGAAAATAACCTTCTGTCACATGAAAAACATCTTTAGGAAAATTAGCAAACAGCCTTTTACTACACATAATACACCATACATGTACTGTACCATACATGATAAAGTTTATCAGTTTGAGCATTAAATATTTTGTCTCTGTACTGTATTTAATTGAATATTGGTTGAAAAAAGATTGGCAAATCAACAGCGTCCCAACCTTTCTGGAATCAGGGTTGTAAATAAATCTAAACCTTATATCTTCTTTAGGACTCCTATTTCAATACGTTTGTCAGTAAAACACTGATTTCAAATTTATATGATTTGATTTCTACAACAAAGTTAAAGCACTGTGTCTCCTTACAGTTGGAATCCTCTTCACGTCATTTCTAGGTTAAGCAAACATTCGTAGTGCCTGAAGAGCAGCATGATACACTTCAGACCTTTCAAAGGCATTAATTAGACACTCCCTTAATGTGTGAAAGAGATTTTAAAGACAAAATATTTTAAATTGAAGGAGAAAAAAAAAAGTATTTCTTTAAAACATCTCTTAGGTGCGAAGATTTTTTCAGACTTTCAGCATGCACAAAATCACAAATGTTTCACTCAACAGACGATTGACACTAAATATATTGATAAATGCTCAATAAAAATAAACTGAAGCTCTGTTCCAGTTTAGACCCAAAGTGTGTATCAGGGTATAAAGACTGAGTAAGTATTTTATAGATGTGTCATGAAGCTGCACAGAAGCCACTGTTCACAGACGTGTTGTAACTCATTACTACCTCATTAAAAACAGTAACTCACAGAAACAGATAATTAATGGAAGGCTTTTTCATTAAAAATATATATATTATGTGACGTCTGTTTTAATTAACATTATTAAGGTTCCTGCTTTAGGGGCCGTACACATGCCTCGTCTTTGATTGCCTAGAAAACGTGAGGTCAGGCACTGGGTGCTACTGTTGTGCCTGTTCTGTGCCAGCTTTCAAGAGCGTGGTAGCAGGTTGCATCTGAGGTTGCTAAGCAGCCTCAAGAAGCACCATATCATAGCCAATTTACCTGAAATCCTGAGTCCAGAGCTGATCTTCTCCCAGGTGCTGTTTGTAAATGGTATATAGACTGCACTTGTATAGCCCCTTTCTAGTCTTCCGACCCCTTAAAGCGCTTCAATATTACGTCACATTCACCCATTCACACGCTGGTGGCCGAGGTTACCATCCAAGGTGCCACCTCTTACCAAGTTTTGTAACCCATTCACACAGATGAAACAGCCATCAGGAGCATTTTGGGGTTCAGTATACTTTGACATGCAGGCTTTGGATGGAACCGCTCAGCTTCAAATTAGTGGACGACCCACTCAACCTCTGAGCCACAGTCAGTACGTTCACATGGACAGTTTAATTCCACTTTCATTCGGAATGAAAGGCCATTCCGATTAAAAGTGGTCATGTAAACGGTCATTCAGATTGAAAATTAAATCCAATTAAAGGGGGTGGTTTATTCCGTTAGTCATTCCAAATGAAAGAATTTTGTGTGCATGTATACACTCATTCCTCTTTAAGTTCATTCCGGTCTTTCTGCGCATGCTCGTTTCCTTGCCCTTCTGGCGCGATGACGTATACAGCGCGCATAGCAACGGGCTGAGATAGAGCAGTAGGACTCCTTGGACTCACCGGATTCCATACGCCAAAACACGGTCTTCTATCTCCCTTCTTTGACCTTCTACCTCCCTTCTCCTCCTCAACAGATGAAGCATTAGCAGAACAAGGTTGTTGTCGTACTGCTGCTTCAAGAATATAAGCAAAACAAGCCCGAAAAAGGCACTAAGAACGGCGTCGTCAAGCATCTTGTTATCCGGAGCAAGTGTTTTCTTCCGGTAAACGTAAACACGTAACATCCGCCCCGCCCCCTATCCAATCAGAAACCTTCCCTGCCCCAAACCTTGCGCAGACCCGAATAAAGGCGATTAAACTGATCTCCCGTGTAAACCCTCATTCAGAATGAATATTATCTCATGTAAACTACCTGGAGAAACTTTAATTCTGAATGATTTCATTCAGATTTATTTCATTCTGAATGAGAAGCCATCATGTTACCGTAGCCAGTGTGTCGGCCTGTTGTCCATGGTTCAAATGTAAAGCTCTGACAGCTCTGCATTAAAAAGATAAATGTTTCCTCCATATTTATCACCCTCCATTTAGTGATGAAGGGAAAAGTATCAGTCTGCTTTGATTGGTCGTTCCTCGTCACATGCCATGCAGCACGCGCTGCATTCCAAAAGTTGTACTCTGTTTTTATCACAGCACAGCCGCCAAGCCCCAACACTCAGGAACTCGTGCACTCTGCATTGGCATCGCTCTGGCATTTGAGTGCACCTATTGTGCGTCTTCATTGACAACACTGAATTTAAGTGCGCTTAAAACGCAGCATGTGTACGACCCCTTATACGTTTAATTGTGTGTTTTGTCACTGTACAGAAGTACATTTTTAATTTTTACACATAGTTTACGTTGAAGAATATCAGTGCAGTTTTACAAATTTTTGTACTATAATGTTCAATCAGTGCTAAAGTGTGAACGGTTGTTGTTAAATAAGTACTGACGTTAATACTTTCATCATGTTTCATAAAATTATTTCAACTTGAGATATTAGATTAGATTTAGGTTTGTTTTTGACAAGTATTTATATGAACAGGTTTCTCTGATTCTGTGTTTGCACTCTTTGATTTGAGAATGAAAATGCCACAAAACCATGACATTTTAAGAACAAGTTTTAATCTTGTAGCATTTATTGAGCTCTTTGAGTTTGAAACAAAGACAATTCATTCCCCTGTGAATATAAAGCAAAAATTAAATACTGAATGCTGAATGTGATGTCTCAAGAATGCCTTGAGGGAATTTCTTCAAACGTGGCACAAACGTCCTGCTGGACTCGATGAAGCGATTAGATTTTGGTCATCAAAGGTCAAGGTGATTGATGGATTTGATCTCTGTCAACAACCCAACTCTGTAGACATCCCCGTCTATCTGAGCTCCTTCACAGGCGAGCACACCTTGTTGCTTTGTACCCGACACACCCAGTGAAATCATTCATCCAAAAGATAAATGGACAAATTGATGTAATTATGCCATTATCTTTATAGAACATGATTACACTTTGTACCATTGAACCACCATGAATATAAATGCTGAGGAATAAAAGTGAATGGAGGGAGTGTGTCAACAGAAAATATGCTTTGTCATCTGCTTGAGATAAATCCAAATCCATTCTGTAAATCATGATATCACCAAGAATGTGAGCATCATTCCAGACTTTGCTTTCTCATTCTTCTATGTGAAGCCTTTTTTAAAAAGAAAAAAAACTTACAAGCCTTCACAGTTTAAGATCTTTTCTATAGTGGGTGGCATACAGGAAGCTGCACCTCCCTTTTTTAGGAGGAGGAACACAAACTGGATATTCAAACGCCTTTGTGGTTGATTGACGCCACCCCAGTTCACATGGCATTGTTTTGACTGCCATTTCAAATGTAACAAAATAAAAGGTTTAACCAGTCACTCATTCACCCCAGTTGCAGCAGGAGAATATATGAAGACTTAAATTAGGGCAAGACACAACAAACTCTTCCACTGTAGCTTCCTGAGGTTAGACCACCTGCATATTATCTGAAAGCTCTTTACGCCATGAGTTACTGTGGGTGGGTGTCAATGGAAGTTGGGGTTTGTTGCCTTTGATCAGAAGTGGGTAAATTTATGGATTGTTTTAGGTTGATATCATATTGAAACATACTTTAGGCTATGTCGGCTCAGTTGTCTGCTTTCGCTCCTTTGGGCGTCTTGTGTCTGATAGCGGTTGGAGACTTGTGATAGCATGTCAAGAGCCAGTGACAATTATTGCAAAGCATGTGCTATTTGAAAAAGAGCTATGGAGGATTTTTCTGCAGATGAACTCTCAGTAGCACTCACAGTTTGTATAATGGCTAAGGAGAAGGTTAAATTTAGGCCTAGTTCACGTGGACATTGGTATTTTTGAAGGTGCACTGCTGATGTTAACAGCCAGAAAATTCAGAAGCCATATTAGACCAAAAAATGTCACATTAGGCTGGATTAATACGTCTGCGTCTGTGTCGAATGGACGCTGTGCCTGTGGCATAGGCCAGGGGTGTCCAAGCTTTTTTGAATGGGGGCCGGATTAGATCATGTGAAAACAACAACAACAACAAAATCACAAAATATGATTGTACTCAACTAAAGATTTTATTTTTAGTGCCATGTTAGTCCTTAAATCAATAGTTCAATAGGCTATCAATAATTAATAACAAAAAAGCCTTTCTTGCACATCTGCAAAGGCACAGCACTCTGACATGAGTCATGAAACATCAACATGAAATAAGAAACTTAAAAGAGAAAACCACACAATAAATTGTGTATATTCTACTACTACTACTACTACTACTATTATTATTATTATATAAAATATATATTTAAAATAATATATATAAAATCAGTTATAATACAATAATAACAATATTTACAATTTAAATTAGAAGTGTATGTATTAGCCTCCTTTAACATAACTACCCCATAACTTACACAGGTCTTCAATAAGCTCAAATACAAAGCAAACAGTTGTTCAAAGTTCAATTTTAGAAGTGCCAAAAGTTCAAGTGCAATGAACTGTTAACTGAATTATCAACACGAAATATAAAACCTTTAGTTATCAATAAAAACAATACAACACGTCATTGATCTCACGTCTCATAAGGGCTCATCAATAACACAGCAAATATTTCTCAACAATTAGGCTATAAACTAGCAGCTAGGAATCCAGTTTTAAAGTTTAGTCAATTTGATGACCATCTGAGACAGGCAACTCACCGGGACTAATGAGTTAGGTGAAACCAGGATCTCGACTGCAGCAAACATGTCAGGTCTAGTTTGAAAGCTGTGGCTGTGATGCGTAAAAATGTCACGTAGGTGGGAATCAGTTAATCTGGACCTCTAGCAGTTGTTGTTCAGGTTCATAACAGAGAAGGCCTGTTCACACATGTATGTTGACCCAAACAAGCTCAGCATTTTCTTGGCAAGTGCCTGTATTTCGGGGAACCTGTCCTTATCCAGCTGCTGATAAAAGTTCACAAGCGAGAGCTGCTGGTGTCGGCTGCGCAGCTCATCATGACACTGCAGCTCAATGAGCTCCAGCTGCAGGTGATGTGGGGCATCATCGGGATCCACAGAAAAGGAGACAAGAAAAGGAGCATGTCCTTTTCAATGACAGCAACATCCTGAAAGCGTCCATTAAACTGTGCAGAGAGAGATGCGATCCCTGTTGCATATTTTCCCACTTGCGCACTGAAGTTTTCCTGTGGAAAACGGTCCATTACCTCTCTCAGTGTGGGGAAGTGTGAGGTGTTGGGCTCTCTTTGTGACAGGTGTTTTTTGAACAGCTGGAGTTTGGTCATAAAGGCCTTGATGTGTGCGTATAGTTGGCTGATCACTCCATCTTTCCCTTGCAGGCTGATGTTAAGTGCATTCAAATGCTTTGTGATGTGAGTCAGAAACGCCAAATCTGCCAGCCAGGCAAGATCCAATAGTTCTCCTATTGGCTGCCCCTTTTCAGCCAAAAACTGTTCAATCTCCTTCCTGAGAGAGAAGAACCGTTGCGGCGCAGACCCCTGACTGAGCCACCTCACATCGTTGCGGTAAATCACATCTCCATACGCTGCCTCCATGTCCAGGAGAAACTTCTGAAAGTGGCGGTGCTTCAGTGCTTTAGCACGAATGAAGTTTATAATTTTCACTATCAGTTTCACAACATGTTCAAACTTAAGACATTTAGCACACAGAACCTGCTGGTGAATTATACAGTGGAGTTTAATGGCATTGCCCCCGTGCTCACCAACTTTGTTGCATATCAGCGAGGCTAATGCACTTCGACCATTGCGGGAGCGCCATCCGTTGCTATCCTGCTCAGTTTTCTCCATGGCAGTTTCATGTCATCAACAACTGAAGAGAGGGACTGAAATAAATCCACTCCTCTGGTCTGGCCTTTAAGACTCTGGAGATCAAGCAGTTCTTCAGTAATGTTCATATTATCATCAATTCCTCGCAAAAAAAAATAAGCAACTGAGCCGTGTCAGTGATGTCGGTGCTTTCATTGCAGGCAAGGGAGAAAAAGTCAAAATCCGCCCCTCTGTTGCTGACTTGTCTCTTGATGTCTGAGGACATTTCTTTAATTCTCCGTGCCATCGTGTTGCGAGCAAGGCACACATTTTTAAACTCCTGCTTCTTTTCAGGGCAAATGTTATCCACCATCTTCAGCACACAATCTTTCACAAAATCACCTTCAGTAAAAGGCTTTCCATGTTTTGCAATAAGCATCGCCA